AGGAGAAACTGATCACAAGATCATCAGTATTAATATTGGGTGCCAAGATGCTAAGAGAAATGAAACACAAGATCATCAGTATTTAGATTCGTTAAGATTAAGTATTCAATATCTAATGGTAACTAAATACGCTTATTTTATAAATATTAGCAGTTTAAGATGCTGGGGAAAACTGATTAGAAGATCATCAATATCTATATTTGCTGTCATGATTAAATATTCAGTATTTGCTGGTATCTAATACGCGCTTATTATATAAAACATTAGCACTATAAGATGTTTGTAGAAACTGAACACGAGATCGTCAGTATTTAGATCGGGTGTCAAGATTAAGTATTCCAGATTTCCTGGTATCTAATACGTGCTTATTAAATTGTAGTTTAGTCTCTTTCATATAATTTCTTACAGGAAGTGTGCTAAACTTTTGCTATTGGGTGTTGTCGCAGATGTTGCTTGTTACAAATTTAGCGTCCAATATGATATTATGAACAGATATCCCAGATAGAAATTATGCTGTTTTACAAGACTTCTGGCGTTGACGCTTGTGCAATTGGTCTTACAATTAATCGGTCAAGCTAATCACTTTAAAACGTATGATTTACACTCTTGTAATTAAATTAGCTGGTTAACTGATTAGTGACAATCTCCTTGTTTAATCATATTATGAATGGGCGTGTTTACTGATAACATGGTGTTTCAAATTGTAAATAACATGATTTATGCAAACCATCAAAAATAATGAAGTAAAATATGATAATAAACATTTGGATATTTACTACAAAACAGTGTATTAATTGGGAATTTAAAAAAAAAAAATAAATAAAACGACAGACGTGGTTGACTTACAATCCACTAATTAATGACACACTTCACTACTATAAACACTGTAAAAACAAATCAATTAACAATAACTCTTAAGATGCCATAGAATTCGACGTTAAAACATCAGGTTACCATATATAAGGAGAACATCTATTGACAACGGCCATTCCATATCGTGTTACTAGATATAACTACGTAAAAGAAATATCTACAATGAAATGACTAATATAAAAGTGGTAAGTATTTGAATGTTAAGAATTGCCGGTATCTAATATGTGCTTATTACATAAACTATTAGCACTATAAGATGCTATGGGAAACTGATTACAAGATCACCAATATCAAGATTAAATATTCAATATTTGCTGGTATCTAATATGTGCTTATTATATACAATATTAGCACTATAAGATGCTAGGGGAAACCTGATTATAAGATCATCAATATCTAGATTTTTTGTCAAGATTAAATATTCAGTATTTGGCGCTATCTTCTAATACGCGCTTTTTATATAAAATATAAGCCCTATAAGATGCTAGGAGAAACTGAACACAAGATCGTCAGTATTTAGATTGGGTGTCAAGATTAAGTTTTCAATATTTTCTGGTATCTAATACATGCTTATTATATACGTTATAGCACTGACAGATGCTATAGGGGAAACTGATTACAAGCCCATCAATATCAATATTTGATGTCGCGATTAAATATTCAGTAGCGGTAACAATGACAATCGAGACTACTGCGATTTTAAAATAAGATTTTCTCGGCTTAAGAGTAAGGCAATTTGACTGAAACTTTGCATATTATATAAAATATTAGCACTATAAGATGCCAGGGGAAACTGATTTGGTGTCACGATTAAACATGCAGTACTTGCTGGTATCTAATGTGCGCTTATTATATAAAATATTAGCACTATAAGATGCTAGGGGAAACTGGTTACAAAAGCTTCAATATCTAGATTTGGTGTCACGATTAAATATTCAGTATTTGCTGGTATCTAATATGCGCTTATTTCTTAAAATATTAGCACTGTAAGATGCCAGGGGAAACTGGTAACAAAAGCTTCAATATCTAGATTTGGTGTCACGATTAAACATGCAGTATTTGCTGGTATCTAATATGAGCTTATTATATAAAATATTAGCACTATAAGATGCCAGGAGAAACTGGTTACAAAAGCTTCAATATCTAGATTTGGTGTCACGATTAAATTTTCAGTATTTGCTGGTATCTAATATGCGCTTATTATATAAACTATTAGCACTATAAGATGCCAGGGGAAACTGGTAACAAAAGCTTCAATATCTAGATTTGGTGTCAAGATTAAATATGCAGTATTTGTTGGTATCTAATATGCGCTTATTACATAAAATATTAGCACTATAAGATGCCAGGGGAAACTGATAACAAAAGCTTCAATATCTACATTTGGTGTCACGATTAAATTTTCAGTATTTGCTTGTATCTAATATGGGCTTATTATATAAAATATTAGCACTATAAGATGCCAGGGGAAACTGGTTACAAAAGCTTCAATATCTAGATTTGGTGTCACGATTAAATTTTCAGTATTTGCTGGTATCTAATATGCGCTTATTATATAAACTATTAGCACTATAAGATGCCAGGGGAAACTGGTAACAAAAGCTTCAATATCTAGATTTGGTGTCAAGATTAAATATGCAGTATTTGTTGGTATCTAATATGCGCTTATTACATAAAATATTAGCACTATAAGATGCCAGGGGAAACTGATAACAAAAGCTTCAATATCTACATTTGGTGTCACGATTAAATTTTCAGTATTTGCTGGTATCTAATATGGGCTTATTATATAAAATATTAGCACTATAAGATGCCAGGGGAAACTGGTAACAAAAGCTTCAATATCTAGATTTGGTGTCACGATTAAATATGCAGTATTTGCTAGTATCTAATATGCGCTTATTATATAAAATATTAGCACTATAAGATGCCAGGGGAAACTGGTAACAAAAGCTTCAATATCTAGATTTGGTGTCACGATTAAATATGCAGTATTTGCTAGTATCTAATATGCGCTTATTACATAAAATATTAGCACTATAAGATGCTAGGGGAAACTAGTTACAAAAGCTTCAATATCTAGATTTGGTGTCACGATTAAATTTTCAGTATTTGCTGGTATCTAATACGCGCTTATTATATAAAATATTAGCACTTTAAGATGCTAGGAGAAACTGAACACAAGATCATCAGTATTAATATTGGGTGCCAAGAAATAAAACACAAGATCATCAGTATTTAATTCGTTGTTAAGATTAATTTTTGTATTCAATATCTAATGGTAACTATTTGGTGTCACGATTAAATATTCAGTATTTGCTGGTATCTAATACGCGCTTATTATATAAAATATTAGCACTATAAGATGCTAGGGGAAACTGAACACAAGATAATCAGTATTTAGATCGGGTGTCAAGATTAAGTGTTCCACATTTCCTGGTATCTAATACGTGCTTATTATATATAATATGAGCACTATAAGATGCTAGGGGAAACTGATTACAAGATCATCAATATATAGATTTGGTGTCACGATTAGATATTCAGTATTTGCTGGTTTCTAATATGTGCTGATTATATAAAATATTAGCGCTAAAAGATGCTAGTGGAGACAGAATATTTTTTGTATTTGCTGGTATCTAATATGTGATTTTATATAAAACATTAACCATATTATGCAAGAGGTAAATCTGCCTATTGCAGGTCTTTTTTAGGGCTGAAATGTTCTATAAATTATTAATTAGACATTTATCAACATGAAAAGACTATAATCAACTCTCGATGCCATGTTATGTGTCCGATTTCATTGGATTTGAATCTGATCTGCTGTTCAACGCCCGTTGAAGATTAAATGCAAAAATGGATAATCGAGACTTTGTAAATTATCGTGAGACAGGTAAAAATGACATTCGAATCTAGAGTGATTTTAAAATAAGATATTCTCGGCTTATAGTAAAGCAATTTGACTGAAATTTTCAGCAAATTCCCTTTACATTATCTAGTTTTTAACTATTATAGTGAGAATTGCCAGCACTTTTTCTAATCGTCCATAATATATCTTTAAGATATCAATATCTATATTTGGGTGCCATGGTTAAGTATTTGCTGGCATCTAATTTGTGCATATTATATAAAATATTAGCACTATAAGATGCTAAGAGATACTGAACAAAAGACCATCACTATCTAAATTGGGTGTCAAGATTAAGTATTCAGTATTTGCTGGTATTTGATGCGTGGTATTATATCAAATATTAGCACTATAAGATGCTAGGGGGAAACTCAACGCAAGATCATCACATTGTGTGTCTGATTAAATATTTAGTATCTACAGGTATCTATATAATATGTCCTTATTATATAACATATTAGCACTATATGATGCTGGGTGAAACTATATATAAGATCATCACTATTTAAATTTTGTGTCATAATTAATTATTCATTATTTGCATGTATCTAATATGTGCTTATTATAGAAATATTACCACTATAAGAAAATCTGTATTTGGTGGTATCTAGTACCTGTTTATCATAAGACTGAATACTTGTTTATTACTATTTAGGGTCTTGTGTTATCAAAGAAAATATTAGCACAATATATAAGACCTGTATTTGTTGGTATCTTATAGTGATTATTATAGAAAGAATTATTACTATAAGTTGAGATCAGTTATCATCATTATTCATCGTGCTTTTCTGGTATTTTAGAAAAATAATTGTTATAATATAAAGACAAATTGTGTGTGTGAGTGGTATGTGACCAAACCCACCCATTAAAAGAGTGTAGGATGACTAGTAAAAACCTGAATACTAGATCACTAATACTTAAAAGAATTAAATTTCAGTATTATATTTTCTGCTAAGTAATACTAGCAAAGTATGTCAGTAGGTACTGATTTCTAAAGGTAACACAATTTCAAGTTTGTGATATTAAAATTTGTAGTTTTAAAGCTAGTGTAAAGAGAAATACTTCTCATGCTTTTTGGCAATGCTGGTTAGCCTTCAGTTACAACGACCATGATGGTAAGCCCCTTTTCAAACTTGTATGTTACAAAAGTATATTATTGTCTTTGTATATCGAGGTAAACAGCACATAACATGGAAGAGAATCAAAATAATTAATAGTACGGTTTTAAAAAAAAACTAACATCTTTATTTAAAATAAACAAATAAATAATAAATTCATACATTAATAACTGGATTTAATCTCCCCTTACCCCCTCTCTCTCTGAGCAATAATCAAAATTCTTTATAGTAAAAAAATTTCAATGTATTGCATAGTAAATAGTTTGTATTCTATAAAAATATCTATTAGCTGAATAATCCTTTGTAAAGTATACATACAAGTGAGAGTTACCATATAAACAATGTCTATGAAAATAAATCATGGCAGGAAGATATAATTCACTTTAATATTTTCTCTCTACCATCTGATTTCATCTCATTCATTTCTTATCAATATATTTGTATAAAATATATATAAATTACATCAAGTTTAAAACACCAACTTCTATTCACAGTGCACACTCATTCTCACTAATCGGTTAAAGTCCCTCTTAACCTTGTATGGATTTAAAATACCATGGATTTAAAAGACCGGGATTGTTGTAGTTCAGTACATCTATTATCACAAGTTCAAAAGAAATTTTTAATCACTGAAGTGACTAGTTTCACCCAAGTAGGGACATGACGATCTCTTCTTTTCCACAAATCTTCTTTTACAGGGTTGGATGATTGGTAAAGTCGAACATGCTCCTGAAAAATATTGTGTGTGGATCAACAAAAGAAAATACAAATAATCTTTATTAAAAATAACCTATGTTAAATGACTACTATTCACTCAACATCTCCGAACAATTTGTGTTTTATAAAAGCTGATCAATAAATAGGTCAGAAATGTTCAGACCAATCGATTAGGGAGTAAAGTATACCATACAATAAATAAAATATGAATTTAATTTGCAAAGTTTCTGTGAATTATCAAACTGTACCACAGTCCAGAGGGTGATATCGCAGACAAGTTGTCTTATTTTCATTATTATTATCTTAGTGCACGCGCAGGGGTCTTTCCTGTGGGAGGAAACCGGAGTAACTAGAGATCTAGACCACTAGGCCATCCCAATCCCCCAAATTTTGAAGTGCAAGTCCTGGCTTTAACATAATGTGGTTGTGATATAATTTACCTGTCGTAACTGTTCTTGAAGTCTTGTATTATCTGTAACAATAGCTGTTTGACATTCTAAATCTCTATAAACTGATCGATAACCTGTAAAATTATACAGAAATAATACAACAGTTAATTAAGTTCTATAAAAACAGATGTTTTTGGCTAATTTTAAGGTTCTCTTGAACCTCTTCAGGCCATATTAATATAATATATAAATATAAATATATATTACATTTACCAGAAAAAGGATGAATTCGGGCTTAAATTCCTAGTTTTAATGGTGTCTGAATGCATAGTTTAATTGTGCCTGCTTGCTGCCAGTCCTCCCAAAGAGTTTAATTCAATCCTCTGATTTGACTTCATTTTGGTTTGGCTTAAAACCTATTGAACACAGTTCAACACACTTATTTCACCACCCTCTATTTCTATGGAAAATTGTGACTTCCTGTAGAATATTTCAACAGTAATTGATGCTCATGTGTCAGAGATCAAAACACTTATTATTGTCTTTCGGGTGCTAAACAGATTTTCATCAAAATCTGAGATAGTTGGGTTAAATTTGTTCATTTTATTGGGTGATTCTCAGAATGACCCTTATATACATATATATCCTCGTCTTAATATATGAATGGACACCAACATTTTCTTCAACTTACCAAAATTAGGTGAGCCAACAAGGGTTAAAGATGGCAGTGCCTGGTTAGGTAAATAATACCATAAACCTTTGACATGGAATGTCCAGTCCTGACGATAATATTCACACATCTGTATTCGTTGTGTTTGACCATATTTCATTAACTGATTATAAAACTGTTTAGCTATATGTATATAGGCTGCTGGTATAGATCCTGCTATACCCTTTGCTCCATAAAAACCATTTACCTAAAATTATAATTATAGACATTCAGTCAAATAGTACACCATTCGGAAATAATCGTGTTTGACACCTAAAGTGGAAGACAACTCGAAAGGGCCTTAACTTTTCCTTCTTGCATACAAGAGATGAAGATTTTAAAAATGACAAAAACAGTATTTTATCACAGTTATCAGAAGGTACTTATATTTTAAAATTCTCTTCCGCTAACACTGATATTTCTTTTATTACAAAAGATTTAATACATCAACAACATAAAGATGAGATAGTAATTTTTATAAACCAACACATAGTTTGGGTGTATATAGTCCTCCCCCCCTGTGCGGCCATCAACAATGTCTTGTTAACGCTACAAGAGATTTTGACAGATTTTTTCTCTCCAAACTTGGTATGATGATTGCAAACCTTGAGTGAAAGATCACTATCGATTTTCAGCATTCTACGACATTTTGAATTACTGCCCTTGTTGTTTTGACATTGCATTTTCTCTTTAGCACGATTGAGGATAGAGTTTGGGAAGGATTTTTTTCAAATTTGGTGACATGGTTGCAAAACAACCTGAAGAGGATGATTCCTTTAGATTTTCCGTGGACTATAATATTTTGTTCCTGAGTTATTCCCCCTGTCATTTCGACAGTAAAATTTATTGTTTACCCGATAGAGGCTTGAGTTTTTGAAGAAATTTCCTCATACTTGGTATGAAGCATAGGCACCATAAGAAGATGATCACTATCAATTTTTCAGTGTTCCCCCATTTTCTGTTTTGGAGTAACTGCACTTGTCATTTTGACATCGCAATTCCTCGTTAAAGCGATAAGGGCTAGAGTTTTTTACAAACGTTTTTTCAGATTTGGTGAGAAGCATTGGGATCGTGAGAAGACGAACCTGTATCAATTTTCAGCGCTCTACAAGATTTTGTTCCAGATTGATTCCCCCTGTGGTTTCCAACAGGAAACTTTCTTGTTAACATGATAGAGGCTAAAATATGTGAAGGGTTTTCTTGAAACTTGGTATGAAGCATAGGCACCATAAGGTGATCCCTATCAATTTTCAGCGTTCCCCTATTTTCCGTTTTGGAGTTACTGCCCTTCTCGTTATGACATCGCAATATCTTGTTAATGCGATAAGGTCTAGAGTTTTTGACAAATTTTTTTCAAATTTGGTGTGAAGCATTGGTCTTTCCTGAGTTATCCACCCTTTTACGAAAACCTTGTTAATATGATAGAGCTTACAGTTTATAACAGATCTTTTTTCAAATTTGATTTGAAGAGTTCGGGTAATGAGATGACAAACCCTATCGATTCTCAGCAATCTGCAGTCTTCTGTTCCAGGATATATATACGCTACAGTTTTTAGGGGCTTTTTTTTAAAATTTTGTATTTAGCATTGGGATCATGAGAGGACGAATAAATTTGATATTCACCATGCATAACCTCTCTCCGAAATCTTGTTAACACGATAGAGTCTACAGTTTATAAAGAGCTGGGTTCATAAGAAGATGAACCCTATTGATATTCATCACTCTGTGAACCACTGGAATCAGAAAGGTTGAACTCTGTTCATTTCTAACAATCTAGGACTTTTGGTTCTAGATATAAGCAGTTGAGACATAGCTTCTGCTTTCTTGCTTTAAGTAGCTATCCTTATTAAAAATATTTCTCTTTACTCACCTCAGGAGATGCCATAAGTATTTTATATCTGGCAAAAGATTGTTGAAGTATAACCCGGAGATAATGATCAGTTAAATTAAAATACCCTGATGCCAGTAATATCTCATCACCTACAGCTGCTTCTCTTAACAACGATAATGTTGCATATTCATCAAATATAATACCAAAAGGTCCCATTTGTATTAAAGGATATACCCAAGTATCATGGGGTTTATCTTGAGTTCTATTAGTATTAATACTGTTTCCATTTTTAGTGTAACTGGAATGTCTTGGTAAACTTATATATTTCCTTTGTTTAGTGTGTCTTTTGAATATCCGAGCTGGACTGAATGACACATCCTCTGCTGGAAGTTTTTGATTTTCTAAGATTTTTAAAATTTGTTCTTTGGCTTCACTTTTGAACATCACTTCATTGTCTGAAATACATATCAATCTAATCAGACATATTCATAAATTATGCAGGAATATATCTATCCAACTTTTCAAAACATCAAAGAATTTTGATTTTATCTAAATTACATATACATGTACTATATAAATATTTAGAAAATAAAACATTCAATAACAATACCTGAAGCCCCTCAATTACCCCACAATAGCTCTATGTTACAAAAACCACCAAAAAATATTCAATTATAAAAAAATAAATATATATAAATAATGGATTATGCCCACACCAAGCAACAACTAACTAGATCCACACAAGACAAACAAGTGGACATGACAAAAAATGAGGACACTGTAAGAATATTATCAAATCATTGGAATGGATCCCAAGGTCAGTTATAAGTGTCCACGTCACTGTCCTGATTTGTAATGATACAGACTTTACTTAATGTAACAATGCACCATTAATGTTTGTCACTAAAATATCATGGCTCAATCCATGCTAATATGTACTCAAGATTGATTATTTAATATTTAAGTAAGAAAACAACTATCAAAATACAAACACTAGATACTGTCCCAGCAAGTTGGATTCAATTGGATTTAAAACAGGCCTATCAATCATTAAATTTTCTTGGAAAACAAAATGGCGCCAGGCTTATTGTATATAGATTTATGAAATTTCAATTCGACACATCTTTGTAAATACTAAATGGAAATGAACAATTATTGGACTGATATTCCTATTAGAGATCCATCCATAACAGTATTATAATTAGCTTAAAATGATGCATCAGGACTTTAATTTGCAAGCAATTTTTAATAAAACAATATGAAGCAAATAATAAAACTATAATAAATAAAAGTGTATACCTTTAAACGGATGTAGAGACCAGTTTGGATGAAGTGTGACCGAGTTGTCTGGTTTTAACTGGAAAGAAAACTTGGATACTGTCTGTATCATTTTATCAAAAAAATCGGCTAAGTCTCCACATTCATTAAATAATATATATCTATCTTGTCTATTAACAAAATAATTATCACTTAAATTAGCTCTGGAAAAAAAAGAAAAATTCTTCATCAAACTAATAATAATTGGGTCAATTTGTCAACTGTGACACATAGAAAAGAAGAGAAATCAATGTGGAACACTTGCACATATTTAATACAATCTAAATTGCAAAAAAAAAATTGGCAATTGGGTCCATATAAGACTTGAGTAAATGTCAATCAAACATTTTACTATAGTACTCTATTGAACTTTGAAAAAAATTTGTAAAATGGACCCTTGCACATTTGAATATGAACATTAGAAAACACAGTATTGCACATAGACCTTAAAATGTAGCTTGTGATTGCCATGATTACTTAGGGGATACTCGAAGTAATGGTCCGGAAATATATTCTCTCCATCCAAAAAATATTGAAAAAGCGAATTTCGGGCTACAAATGGACCCTTGCACATTTGAATATGAACATCAGAAAACACAGTATTGCACATAGACCTTAAAATGTAGCTTGTGATTGCCATGATTACTTAGGGGATACTCGAAGGAATGGTCTGGAAATATTATCTCTTCATCCAAAAAATATTGAAAAAGCAAATTTCAGCTACAACGCATGCGTCGAGGGAATTAAAAAATACCATGACAATTGAAAGATATATTTATTGTGTTCAATTTTGTCACTATTCTACTCCCACTACCTAGCTCTTTTGTTGGGACTGAGTGAACTGTGACAAGACTGAATTCTGTCACTCGATTGCAAGTTTGTCAATTCTGAACATTCCAGACTGACAATCCAGCATCCTCATAGAGTAATTTCACTGTTATAATCAAAAGTGTATTAACTTAATTGTCAAAGTGGTGATAATTTCCTAGTTCAACCTAGTTACCTCCCTTCAATACGTTGGAACAAAGCTATTTTCAAACATACCCACTAATCATAACACTATCATCACAGATATAAGCTTTAATATGTGTTAAACCAATAGTTTCATTAAATCTTTCTGGGACTATCTTCTTTAATAAACCTCTCAAGTCTGGTGTGTGATATAAAGCAATCTGAACATTTCCACCATATTCACATAACAATGGTTGTAACATAGTTCTTGAACTTTTATCTTTTCCTCTTGATCCTCTGGTATAGTCTATCAAAACACGAACTTTGAAGTTACCATTACCTTCTTTGGCAGCATTGGCACATGCTTCCTGTAAACAATCAACCTGAAAAGAGAACAATTTAAAATAAAGGGTCAAGTCATCCTAAATAAGTTCATCAATCCTAAAAATAAATATGTGATCAAGGTTAGAAATATTTTCTAGCAATTTTAATAGAGAGAGAGAGAGAGAGAGAAATGGGGTTTACATTCACTCAACACAAACTAGGTCATTTCGGGACTAAGGTATGGTTCAATTTTATTTCAATAATTCGCTTGTGCATAGGGGTCTTTAGCAGTGGGAGGAAACCGGAGTACCCAGAGAAAACCCACAGGGTTGTACAGGCGACCCTACTCCTTGTCACTTGCAAGCGGTGAATCGCAACCATGCTACTTGACTCAATGACAGGTCTTCTGATTCAACGTGCACACGTTAACCATTCGGCCACCCTGTGACACTACAGTTTTATTAAATATATGAATTAACTCTTGACTTCCATGTTGTACTCTGAAATATTTCGCTGGTATAACTATATTTATACATGATTATAATATCCATAATACAAAGGTTAAATACAGGAAACAACAACATCTATGATAGTACATTAGGAGTTGTTATAATATCAACAGTTTGAGTTTAACAAGCCTAGAACTCGGCCCTATCGGCTGAAACACTACATTGTTTCTATCTCAGCCTCGAACCAGAGGCTGAGAGTACGTTCTTTTAAGAATACTAATTGATGTCTATTTCCCAGCCTCTCAGCCGAGGAGGCTGTGGGAAGATCCTTCCGAGAATACTAAATGATGTCTGAAGGTAAATTTAACCTCACTCTTTCTTATATAGAAAGTATAGATGTGTCAGTTATTAGGGTGGTAGAATTACCATTTTGGGTAAGTGTTTCGTATGGGCACCATTTTACGTCAACATTATTCTATTTGATTGCACTAATCTGTGCACGAGATGACTGGATGATAATAGTCTACTTTCAGCAATTGATGGTGGCAGGAACTGTCTGTGAGTTAGTCTAAGAAAGTTGAATCTTGCAAAATACCTACTTAGCCCATTTCTCGTTGTCACCCATTTGTATAACCACTTCAATAAACATAGCACCTTTCATAGAACTAAAATAACCCTGTAGTATTAGTATTACAACCAAAAACCCCAATTTTAATAGACTCAGTTAAATTTTAACTACAAGGGTTGTCTTCATATTGCATAGTTTATTTGTATGACAAATTAGGTGAAGGGTTGGATAGATGAGCAGTTAGAATTTGATCCTCACTCTAGTGGTCTGTCAAAGCTATGGCCTTGAATAAGACATTATATCCCTGTCTATCCAAATGTAATTTGGTATCAGTAATAAAAGTTTATAAAAGATAAGAATCTCGTTAGTATGACATTGCTCTGTGTTGTTTGACCATGATTATAAAATGAAACTTGCAGAAGAACTAAAAAGCCAATTACCCTAATTGTTCACAGAGCTTCACAAAGAAGGCCAACCAAAAGTTGAGATTTTGACGGAGTGTGTCTATTTTCATCGTCCAGTTAAATCTGTTGGAAGCCAAAGGTGAATTCTATTCAGTTTGTTAAAACAAAGGATACACATAACATGACAGTTCATGTTTTGATCTCTAAAATTTTGGATAGTTGATTTAAATGTATTAAAGGATGATAAAACTATTTTAATATGGCAATCTTTATGGATAGCCTCATTAATCACACAGTTAGTTTTTTTCTGCAATATTCTGCTATTCTCTAGTAATGTCATAAATGTAGCAGCGATGGTCACTTTTACGTTTTATTCAAGAGAAGATTAGTATCTACAATTTATCATTTTCAAAAGCATAAGTGAATAGGATGCAGTAATAAGCAAAAATGCTTATATAAAACTGTTTCCGTATTTTACTGATTAATTTGTTACACTGTAGCCTAATGAATTGGTTGTTAATTTTTCATAATTTGTGACCGGAATCATTAGTCTGTCCAGCAGTATTGAGTGGGATCGGGTCTAATCAAATGAAACACTGATAGGAGTATGCTGAACTAGCACAGATACTTGCATTACTATTTTATTTATTTATATTTGCAAATAACTTCAGTCACTTTTTATCATCATCATGTATGGTGTGCTTGTTTTTTTTATAAAAATATAGAAATTTACCAATTCATCTTCTAAACTTCCTGTTCCTAAATAAAGCGAGGCTAGTATTACTCTCTTTTTAGCCTTTTTGATCTTCAACTGAAAAAATAAAAGACAAGAAAATTTAACTGTTGAATAATTAAACATACATTATACAAGAGCTAAATCTGCCTATTTATTTATTAATAAATTAGACATTAACTTATCAAGACCACAATCAACTTTCGATGCCATCGTTAGCCTGTGATATTTAGTGGATTTGAATACGTTTTGTTGTGGATGAAATAACCGTAAAAATGGACAATCATGACTTTGTTTATCATAGTAACAACGGTAGCGAGTAATAATGATTGAGACTACCCTAAAATTTAATTGCTAATATCTAGGTTCAAAGTGCTGCAATTTGACTGAAATTTTCAGCATATTCTATTTTCACTATCTATATTTTAAAGGGACAATAACACTCTTGCTGGCTTGAAAGCTCCAGAAAATAAATAATATCTCTATCTAAGTACTAGATGTTTAAGTGTCCTACCTGTTGTGTAAATTATCCATTACATCCTATTTTACTTGTCCAGAGGGTTCGAAAATATTTTTAAATCAAAGTTTCATTTGAAAAGGTTTACGTTAGACGTTTCAAACCATTATGTTCAATTTTTCAAAATTTTTAAATAAGGTATGTTAAGATGAAATTTGTATCATCAATTAATTGAAATATTCTAAATAGTACAATTTGTTGACCAGAATAAAGATTGGGACATATCATTCAGTTACAACAAGAGTGGTATTGAGCCTTTAACTATTTTAGCGAGAACAGTCAGCTCTTTATCTAATCTTACCTAATGCCCCTTTAATATGAAATGAGTATAAATAATTGAAATAATTGACATAATTTGATAAAATTTGATAATTCATACCCAGATATCATGCGAAAGGACGGTTAAGCCAGAAAGAAGGATATGTTATTTTCAATTAAAAATGCATTATGTAAGAGATAAATTTGCCTATGGCAGGTCTTTTTATTCAAGCTTCGAATGAATACAATATGATGGTGGAATAGTGAAATGAAATTTCTTTAAAATTAAAATGACATTCACCCGTGAGTGAAACTGGTGGAACAAAATCAATCAAAGAAGCATGAAACTAAAAATATTTTTGTTAATTAGAGATAACCTTCATGATTTTTCAAATATTGCATAGATTTCAATTTAAAAATGATATTCACCCTATGACATAAGTGAAATAAGGGCATGAATAAAAGAAGCATGAAATTGAAACATAATTATGTTAAGTCCATAAAATTGACACGGCACATATATTTCTAATTAAGTCACATTACTTTGAATAAAATTATGTACATTTTAACAATGATTCAATAGATAATTAGAACTAGCAATTTAGATAAAATTGACACAGCACATATATTTCTAATTAAAAGACATTACTTTACATGAAATTATGTATATTTCAATAATGAATTCAATAGATAATCAGAACTAGCAATCTTCCCAAAATACCATAAGTAAGACATCATTCAGATATTTATACTACGAATTAAAAGATATTAAATGTGAAAAGCAAATACATATAAAGTAAGCTAACATCCTCTCTGATTAAAATTAAAGCAATCTGATTAAGATACAGTCGCCTATTTTGTTTTGTTTTTTACTCCAGTAATTATCACAAATAATTGAAATAAGTTTCTTTGTCTCACAAACTTAAAATTAAATACTATGCATATTAATTTTAAGTCCGACGAGATGGAAGGGGCTCATGAGTGTGGGATGAAACCACCACAAGCACTGATAACAGATCTTCTACAGGACCTGCTACCACAGTTTTTTAACTTTTTTTTAAAACATCTTTCTTAATATTACCTTGAGAACTTCAAAATATTGTGTGGGTTCTGTTAATACTAACACTTTGTCGCCATGAACCGGATAACATGGTCCAAATTTATTTAACCAACTAAAATGGTCATAATTAGTATGTGTTGCTGTTATCTCTGAGATCTTCCTTCCTTGGAGTGGTGCCTTGTTCACTGTCTTTTTAGGGCCTGATGACCTGTAAATTAAAAAGATTAAATGTTTAATTCAGTTTTCAATGCATAAGGCAATTTTGGACTACAAGCCTTAACTGTCCTACGGGTGTAAGTAACACATATTATCAACCATAATAATATTATTGATTAGTACAGAACTATGCATGGAATGATTTAAATTACCAGGTTTACTCATTAAGTTTGGTGGTCCGAAATGGGAGAGAGTCGCTGATCTCTCCTATAGAGGGGGTCAGGGGAGGTCGGTTTCGGGGATCTCTCACTAAAAAATTCTGTGCAATTTCATGCATTCCAAGTTGTTCTTAACTTCTTAGGCTCTAAGGTGGGTGGCCCGGGGTGGGGATGGCCGAATGGTTAGCATGTGCGCGCTGTATCATAAGCGTAAGGTCTCTCATTGAGTCAACTGGTGTGGTTTCGATTCCCCGGTTGTTCGTGACAAGGAGTAGGGTCACATGGCCAACCTTGTGGGTTTTTCTCTGGGTCCTCCTGTTTCCTCCCACTGCTAAACCTATATAACCATGCTTCATTTTACATTATTCACTGTCAGCTTGAGACAGCACTCGGTCTCGGCAAACTGAGATTTGTAAATTGTAAACATGATGGTATAACTGTCTACTACTGAATATATTTTATCAGACTTCGACATGGTAAGGTCAATGATATAAGCAAGCCAGTCAAAGATAAATAAATAAAAGCTGAAGAATGTTTACCAAAATGCAACCCTTGTTTGCCTTGGAAAAGTTTTCCCAAGCAGACGAATCCTCAACATGTCCACCATCTTCCACCTTCCGGTACGGTAAATTATAAATCCAATAGATAAAGCCACGACGATTATAGGGGCAGGAACATATGTCAGTCAATTTGATTGACAGTTCTATGCACGGCCCTGACATTACGTATATCAGAGGCTATACTCAGATATTTGACTAAATAGGCCTATTACCATGGATCACCTTATATATAGACCCAGAGCTTCGATATAAATCAATGTAGGCCTACAGGATCAAAATTTCTTTAAATAGTTAACTAATTGAAAGTTGATTAGCAATAGTATCCGATGAATAAACCTTAAACCATGCATGGACCTATGTATTATAATTAAGGTCCATGCTTAAACCTCTTTTTATTCGTTTAAAAGAATTCAGGGACAACATAGGTCTTAATAATCATTCGGATGGTACTGAAACCCTAGGTGTAAAAGATCCCTTGGCAGTTCGAATTTGAAAAGATTAAGAGTAGGCCGTAGCGCCGCTGTCCAAAATTTCCCTCATGGCACACTGTATGGCGTTTGCCCCGCACCGTCTTCATTAGCCCAGTAGGCTAATCTATTTTCTAAGTACTTAAATGGTACGCCTATTCCTTATGATTCAAAGATTTTGTAGTATATTTTTAAATTAATTTCCATAAAAAAGGCATTTGAGTTTGAGAGATAAGACAAGGACGTATCTATCGGTCTCGTTTTAAAACTTGTGTCTTTTTCTTATGATTCAAGTATTTTGGAGTATTTTTTTTTTTTTTTTTTTTTTGAGTGATTTAGAATATGGTCTTATATATCAAGAAATATAGTGACCTAATCATTGCCTATTACCACCACATATTGAACTCTATCGGCTTTGTTTGATAGTAAGCCTTGTTCCTTATGATTCAAAGATCTTCTAGAATTTCTTCAATTAATTTCCTAAAGATAATGATATTCGAGTGATTTTATTATATAAATTAAGAATACAATCCTATAAACAGGGGAAACTCATCATAGGCTTTCCACATATAGAACCCAATGGGTACCAATTCAAAAAGCTTCAACACATTCAAAATGCGGCAGTGCGTTTAAGATCTCTTTCACGACGTCATTGCAATCCTACAGGAACTCCACTGGTTACCATTGAGGCTCGGGTATATAGTGAAACGAAATGAAATGGGCTTTAACGGACAGCGGCACTACGGCCTACTCTTAAATCGAATTCCAACTGCCAATCAATCTTTTACATCCACCTCGGTTTTTCGTCCTATCAGAACGTCTAGTTATACTTGCCGGGTTCTCCGTCCTGACAAAGAGAAGCCACACCGGAAAATTCTGTTGAACTTTCTCGGTCAACACCGGGACGAACCCGCGACCTCCAGACTATAACTAGTTTCTTTAGGAACGGCCTCTGATCGGACGCTGTCCGCTAGGCGAATCTACTCCTTGTCACGTACAACCGGGGATTCGAAACCACGCCAGTTGACTCAATGACAGACTTTATGATACAGCACGCACGTGCTAACCATTCAGCCATCCAACCCCCCGATTCGAGTTTGAAGTGGTGATGTCATAAAACTTGTCCGACCTCAACCGTCGCGAACAGAAATGAAATGAAATGAAATGAAATGGGGTTTAACGTCCTACTGTTTTGCTCCGAACTGGGCTAATGAAGACGGGCATACGCCATACAGTGTGCTATGAGGGTAATTTTGCCCGGACAGCGGCACTACGGCCTACTCTTATATCGAATTCCAACTGTCAAGGGATCTTTTACGTGCACGCCAATGTGTACACTGGACCTCGGTTTTTCGTCTCATCCGAATGACTAGACAGCTGTCCTTGTCAGGCCCTCCGTCCTGCATCACTGACAAGGGGGAACCACGCCGGAAAATCTGGATGAACTTTCTCGGCCAATGCAGGGATCGAACACCCGACCTCCAGGCTAGCGAGCCAGCGCCTTACCCACTTAGCCACCGTGATCCCCCGTCGCGAACAGCATACCATCTTCATTGAGAATAATTGACAATTTGAACCCTTTGGATTTGTAGGCGTAAGTTTTAGTTGTTAGTTTCATTTACAATTTTTAATAATTTTAAAAATATACAACGGTTTTAGCTATAGTTGCTTTAAAAATGTTTTAATATTTTTATGGTAAATTTGTAAAGTTTAAAATTGAACTATATATGTTTGTATGTACTGGTTAGAGAATTTGTTTTAATGTGAATCGCTTTATCAAAAATAAATCATTATTATTATTATTAATCTTTTCATAATGACATTATTAGAGTGATTTTACTACATGACTGTATATTATTATAAATTAAGAATTTCATCATAGAAATACGGAAATCTGCTTGACCTCAAAAAGTGGGAATGGCCAAGACAATAAAAGGGTGGGGCTTAAATCTTGTACGCCTCTTAGAATTTTCGGGCACGATCGTAAATTTCCGTAATTGTACGTACACTTCCGGAACTAAAACGGAAGTCGCGTTGAATTACGATGATCAGATTATCCAGTCATAATTTTTCTATTTATTTTTTTCATTGAGTGAAGTGTCTGGATAATAAAATTCTCGCGCGTACATGACAACCCGTCATGGCAACAAACATAATCGACTTACAGCCATACTATAAAACTTTCGGCAGAAGACGGCCTTCCAAAAACCTTGGCCTGAAGGCGTAAAAATGTATCTGTAGCAATCGAAGGTGTAAAATCTTCCATTCGATGCTGCAGAACACGTTTGTATATATAATATAGTATTGTATTCACTACTACTGAAGACTTATTTGTGATTAGTTTGGCTAGCAAACGAAGTCAACATGGCAAGCGATTTGGAAATATCCGACACCCGTGTGTTATTTGTAGCAGACTATGTCTTAAAGACATTAAAAATCAAACCAGATAAATGGTCAAAGATGTATAGTGTTGATGAAACAAAGCAAATGTTTTTGGACTACTTTGAGAAACCAGACCTCATTTCTCTGGTTGTTATTTTAACTCCTGCTGGAGGTTTGACAGTTCAATTTGAATGGCCAAATAATCCAAAAGGAAAGGCATGTTATTTTGTGAAAAGATCCAGGGATCCAATTCAAAAAGACACTAATTTAAGGGTTGCTTTATTGTATGGTGATCTAGCATATTCACCGTTAGACCAGTTATCTGCATTTGTGGATGAGGTAGGTATTCATTCTTTTGTCATTTTACTCAGGAGTGGCTGTAATTAGCCTAGTGACAGTGTTACTAGTGTAATCATATAATATAAACTTTGAATGTTAACATAAAAACTGTCCCAAAAACCAATGAAGAAGTTAAAACTAAAAGCTAATCTTCACAAATCTAGCAACTATAAGCTATTGCCTTGGGTTTTTTTTAACAAATATCTTTCTTTTTTTTTGACCAGCTACATACTAGCTTGTCATTAGCAATATTATTAACATTGACTGAATGGTTATATTATAATTATGTGTGGTGTATTCATTAATTAATGAAGTCAGATAATGTTTTCAGCTCAACTTGTTTTAGAATTGATTAGATTGTTAAAGAGATTTACCAGCTGATTAAGAAAAGAATTGATCATAATGAGATAAAAAGATTACTAGATTAATCAACATTTTATTCTTTATTATTAATACAGCACGTACAAACCATGTTAGCCAACAGACAATTTAGTCATGGATAATTGATTTATAAACAAATTTAATTAATTCTGTAAGCTTATGTGCACACTTAACTTGAGCTTTGATATATTGTAAGTAAAGATGTATTTTGATTTTTTTCTTTTAGGTATTGGTACCACTCTTGTCCAATGACCGAAATCATGATCACTGGCCAAAGGTTGTGTCAACTGATGTCACAAAACATGTACATAGTCTAAAGAGCAATGTCTTTGTAGTGTCTGGTCAAGCTAAGGGTAAAACTCTACTGCCATTACCGGTTGGTGCTGAAAGAGTTGAAAGCATAGCTCCTCAAGATGACAAGTAAGTATGCTTTATGAGGTAAAGATAGATTTTAGTACTGTAGTGATGGAAAAGAAACCTGAAAGAATGTGTGAAAGTTTAAACATCAATCAAGTAATAATACATCTACTACTGGTCATTGTAAATTTTATATATTTTTTTATTGCAGGGGAGAATCATTTGATAGAACTTTAATTCATGCTATTGAGTCAGTAATCATTGAATGGACCCATCAGATCCGTGATGTCTTAAAGAGAGATTCAGCTCAACCTCTCCTCGAGGGCCTCAATCCTACACCCTTTGTAGAAATTAAGTTTTGGGAAAATAAAGCCCAAAATCTTGAATGCATTTACGAACAGGTAAACCATGAAAGTTTTGAATCAAACACATTTATTTCTATGAAAATGAAATCTTGCCTTATCTTATGTTTTGAGACTACCAATTTAGAAAACTAAGATCACAGGAATTATTTTCCTTCAGTGAAACAAATTCTCACCGAAAAAGATTTTAATAAATTTATTTTATTTTTTCAGCTGAGAGATCCAAAGGTTAGGAAAATGGCTGAGCTTTTAGAAAGAACAAACAGCAGTTATTTCCCATCATTTAAAAATATTTTTAGAGATGTAGTAGCTGGTAGGTTGAAATTATTTGCTTTTGTACAGCTTGCACCAAAATGATCCTAACACAACTTCCTTAGTTAAGGGGTTTCATAAAGTGTGCCTGTTTTTTAAACTTTTTGCTGTCACATTCCTGAATACAAATATTGCTTTTAGTTTTAAAAAACCTTTCAACCAAAATGTGGAAGATATTTCTTATCAAGTTTAACTTTCATATAAGTTTAAATTTCCATCATTGACAAAATGATACCATAATTTTGTTGTTTGAGATTGATCAACATACTTTACTTTTGTTTCCTGAATATTAATTTTTTTAATTTTCTTTGTTTTAATTATTACAGCCTTGACTGAGGCCCAAGACATCAATATGTATCTTAAGCCCTTACGACATTATCTTGAAGATTTAGAACAGGCTGAATTTGATGAATGTATACCTCTGTTATCGCCTACTATCTACACTGTTTGTCAAGTCTGGACCCACTCTAATTATTACAGTACTCCAGGCAGAGTCATTGTCTTATTACAAGAAATCTGTAATATGATTATTAATATGGTACGCTAAATCTAATTTACCTTTACACCAACATAATTATGTTTCCCCTGTTTAACTGGGGAAATGACACATGTTGCTTTAAGCAGTTGACTAGTCAATTAGTGAACATAGGTTTTGTATTTCTTAATCTTAATTATGTTTTTACCCCTCAAAACATTGATAATAAATTTCATTATTTCTTTGTAGGCTGTAGCTTTCTTGGATCCAACTGAAATATTCAAAGGAGAAGTAGAAGAAACAATAGATAAAGTACAGAAAGCCTGTGAAGTGTTGAAAGCTTTTAAAGATACCTATGAGGACCACAAGGGAAAACTCAAATCTTACTATGATGAAGGTGTTGAACCAAAGGAATGGGAATTCGATCCACAACTTGTTTTTGCTAGATACGATAAATTCAAACAGCGTGTTGAAACAGTCAGGGTAAGTAAAAGACCTCATGCACTTTTCTTCTGAAGATTAGATTTGACGATTATTAGATTTCAAGGCAACTGTCTTTAATTTTTTCAAGAGGGAGATAATCAAGTAGGAGTATTTACATCATTTTGCACATTTACTAATAGCTATGTATTGGTGGCTATTCTTCGATTTTGAAAATGGTTAAAGTTAAAGGTGTCATTTTGTATTATTATTAGTAATTTGACATCACACCTGTTAAATATAATGCAGCATTTTATGTAAAATTTGACAAAAATGATGTGTCAGGGGAGATAATTCATTTGAAATAAAATGTGCCCCAACTTTAAATTAAATTTTAAGTCTTTATTTTTCAGGAATTGATGGAAACTGCATTGGAATTTATAAAGTTGGAAAAAGTTGAACTTGGAGGAATTAAAGGAAAATGTTTGAGTGGCCAAGTCATGTCCATTTTTGAAGAATTTAATGAAATCTTCCGAGTTTTCTCAGAGAGAGGTTATGATTGTTTGGATCCAAGTAGTGATGTAAGTTTTGATTAATCAAATTGATTTTTTTTTTTTTATATATATGTAATATTAAACAAAGTTGTGGATTAGTAAGCTTATACTTTTCGGGCTTTTTTTTTCACAGGAATTTTTAGACGATTATCAGAACTTTTTAGAGAAGATAGGTGATATTGATAGAAGACTTGCTACAATTATATGCCAGGGTTTTGATGACTGCTCAGGGTTGGAATCTATTTTTAAGGTAAAACTTTTAAACAAAATAACTTTGATAAATTGTCTTGAGATCAAACATGCAACAATATCTTCGCAGATTTAATCTTTTGACGACCTTCATTAAACAGGGAAATATTTTGTTTACTTTAGTTAAAATTATTTAAAGTTGAAGAATAAATGAAATGGGGTTTAACATCCTACTTTTTTTGCTCCATCCGGGATAATGAAAACAGAATTTGAATCCGATGAAATTTGAAATTAAACCGAAGCTTGTATTTTACTTGCAGCTGATTGACATAATGAATACACTGTTAGACAGACCACTAATCAAACAAGACTTTGAAGCCAAATATCCAGTAGTAGTAGTGAATATGAACCATGAACTAGATGAAGCCAAGAATATTTATGATTTACAATTGGCTAAAAAGAAAGAAACTGGAAAAGCGCCTATTCACAAGAACATGCCAAGTGTTACTGGAAGTTTAAGATGGTCGAAAGAATTAAATGAGAGAATTACAATACACATGGGAAACTTTAAACATATAGAACATCCGTTAGTATAATTTAGTTATATCGTAATCTACAAGGATTTCATATTGTATAAATATCAAATGTAGACATTTCAAGAAAGTTTTTGCAGTTAAAAAATTTCATTCTGAAAATGGGGGAAGCAATTGTTATCTTTTCTTGCTTGATCATTCATAGCTTGATCCTTCTTTTTTTAAAGAAAAGTTACAAAGAGGGAGAGGTTAGATAGCAGCCCTACTCTGTGTCATCGGCCATCTTGGTAACATAAAAACCCAAAATGGATTTCTATAACCCACTGCTGAACACAATGATCCATTTATATACTGGACGAATATTTGAATTGATGTCAACTAAATGTTATATATTTTGTAGTTGTATGGAAACTGAAGAAGCACATCTTGTATTTACCAAATATGAACAAATGATGAAACTATTAGCACTGTGGGATCAACAAGAGTATAAAGAATGGACAGCGGGTGTTGATGATGCATGTTCGTTTAATTTATCACAACCATTGGTTACGCGAAATGGAGAAACCAAACTTATTTCTGTTAACTTTGATAGACAGGTATAGTGAAACTGTTTTATGCAAGCTAGATTCCGAGGCAGTGTTTAATGCAAGTCTTAATGGAAGAAATTCTTGAGTTTCAACTTTCCTGTGTGGATCATATAATGCTTTTATTGGATTTGTGTAGTCTATGTATGTTCCTTTCATTTCATATTTTGATAAAGAATTCGTTTTCTTTTCTAGTTGGTGGCTGTGTTACGTGAAGTGAAATATTTAGAAATCCGTTCTGAAGAAGAAGTGCCAGGAAGTGCCAATGCTGTGTATGCTAGAAATGATGAATTTAGAAAATATTTAGCTAATTTAGACTTAACTGTACAGTGGTACAATAAAGTACGAAATACAATATTAGAAGTCGAATATCCGTTAATAGAAAGTCAATTACAAGATATAGATGTACAGTTAGAAAAAGCAGAAACATCATTAAATTGGAACAGTCAAGGTTGGTTGAAAAGTTACATTATTGTTATAGTTAAATGACAATAATTCCATATTTTTTAGTAACAGTGTCAAAATTAAATGTTGCTCGATCTTGAAAGTTGAGAAACGTAAATTTCTCCTTATGACAAATTGAGTATAAAAAAACCCAAGGATTTGCTCTGTGATAATTGACAAAAATCTGGGGTTTTTTTTATGTATCGGTTCTTTTGTAGAGAATGTATTAATGAATTATTGTTTGTTTATACAGGCGTGTGGGAATACATTGATGAAACAAGAGAGAGGGTACATAATCTGGAAACGCGCGTACAGAAAGCTAAGAATAACGTAGAAGAAATACAAAAGATTATGACAACGTGGTCTAAGGTTTCACTATTTGAAAGAAAAGAAGATAAACACGATAGTTTATTACATTTAGATGACCGTCAAGATCGTCTTAATAAACGATACAATGAGATTAAACAAGCTGGTGAAAAGATCCACACACTACTCAAGGTATTCAATTAGTTTTACTTACTATATTCATTCATGTTTTTATTTGTCCAATTTCAATATTCTCCTGTTAGTTATTTTAAATACAGTTTTATAATGACATTGAAATTTAACAATTGTGCTACCCTGAAATGTACACTATGGTTTAATAAGTTTTTATATATTCTTGAATGCCCAAGTGAGACAAAGTCACACAAATTAAAAAATTTTATAATTGTTAAAAGATTATTTCACAAAATGGATTAAATATCAATGTAAAACCAGCAAAACTTAGGCTTGTTTATTCAAAAATCAATTTTGATATGATTGATATTAAAAGATTTTTTTCTGTATTTTTAGGAAAATCTGGAATATTTTAAAGCAGATGCCAACTCTGATATTTGGAAAGCATATGTTGATTATGTTGATGAAATGATTGTTGATGGTTACTTTAATACGATTCACTGTAGTTTACAGTTTCTCTTGGACAATACGTCTTCTAATAAAAATTCTGATCCCTTGTTCGAAGCACGATTAGAACTGCAGGTACCAGACATGGTGTTCTTACCATCTCTAGAATACGGAGTGGCAGATGGATTCTATGATTTAGTTGATGGTTTAGTCGGTGATATTTATAAACAGTCATCTTTAATACCTCGACTAGCAGCTCACAGTGGTCAGGAACATTATCAGGTAATGATGCTTCTGCAGATATTCTGTCTTTACTTGAATGATTGGTCATTACAAATTTAGTCCTATCAATATCTGATAAGATAATTTGATACAGTTTAATGCCGATATCCTTCATGTTAGGCTCAAAATGCCCCATATAAAGTTCTAACGTGACTTTCCATCAATCAGTTCAATTTTTTTGTTAGCTTTGAAGAAGTTATATCCTAAATTAAAAAGATAGAAATTGTGTACTAATAGTTCAATTATTAATTCCAATCAAATCAATCAGTTTTGTTTCAATTTTTAATTGTCTTTCAGCCTGATTTAGAAGATATGGAAGAATTATCCGAGATGAGACAGGAGATAATGGACAGGGTACAGACCATCATGAACAAGGCGTGCGAATATCGTAATTCATTTGATAACTACGCATATCTCTGGGTTGATGATCGTAATGAGTTTATGAGACAATTCTTGTTATATAATCACGTTTTGACAACAGAAGAGATTGAAGCACATGCTGATGAAGGAGTTCCTGAAAGCCCCCCAACTCTTGCTCAGTTCAAAGAACAGGTATGGTGGTACTCTATGACTAGCTTTAATTTGCTTTAAAAGTTGACCAGTATTGCAGTCAGTCTTGCTGTAGAAATTCAAAAAAAAAAAAATTAAAATTGATGTCTGAATGAAATTAGACAGAAAAAAAGCATTTTTGACCTGTGAAAATTTTAAAAAGCATTAAAGTTATTTGAATGTTTTCTGTTTTAGATTGATACATATGAAAAGATATACGAAGAAGCATTTTTGACATGTGAAAATTTTAAAAAGCATTAAAGTTATTTGAATGTTTTCTGTTTTAGATTGATGCATATGAAAAGATATACGAAGAAGCAGAACATGTTGAAGCCACAAGTTTATTTGATCACTGGTTCCGTGTAGATGCTAAGCCATTTAAACAAGCTCTATTAAACATTATTAAACGATGGAGTTTTATGTTTAAACAACATCTTATTGATCATGTCACCAACAGGTTAGTTAAATCCACTCAGTGGTCATAGGTAGCCATTTTATCCCTGATTTTATTTGCCATTCTAGATGTAATGATTCCATTAATACTTTTGTAACATAGTCTGAACACTTCAGTAGAGTCGGTTAAAGCATTCCCAGCTAAAACATGTCATCCCATAATTGCCAGGAACTTCATGCTCCTGTTCAAATTTTTTGGTCGGCTAAAAAAGTTATGAAGGTTGTTCTTATGATATCAAAGAAATTACAAAATCAAAGTTTGGTCTAGAAAAAGTAGTTCAACGAAAGTAAATTTGTTTCCTTTCTCAGTTTAAATGTGAGATATTTTTTTTCCTAGTTTGAAAGAGTTGGCCGAGTTTATTAAGGTAACAGACGCAGGTGTGACTAGACCACTAGAAGAAGGTGATTATGATGGTCTTGTCGCCATCATGGGTAGTCTTTTCGCTGTTAAAGAACGCCAAGCAACCACTGATGAAATGTTCGAACCATTAAAACAGACGATTGAATTGCTGAAAACTTACGATCAAGAGATGCCTGACGAGGTTCATCTACAACTACAAGAACTGCCAGAACAATGGAACAATACCAAGAAGATTGCTATCACAGTCAAACAGCAGATGGCACCATTACAAGCTAACGAGGTTGCTAATATTAGGAGAAAGAGCGCTTCATTTGATGTGGAACAACACAAATTCCGAGAGAAGTTCAGGTCTATTAAACCTTTCCGATTCGATTGCGAGCAACCTTATGAATATCTTGATAGAGTAAGTTTAAAGATATTCTATTTTATTTTTAGCCTGTTCTGTTATGAATGGAATTAAATTCAAGGTATGTTTATTGATGAAGAGCAGATTTAGAATATTTCTGACAATCACATCTCTCTTTTGGAAATATAACTTTCATATAAACTTTCCTCCAGGTAATTATTATTTTATAAACTAATTGTTTTTCTTTGAATTTTTCAGAATCATGAAGAAATCAGTAAAATGGAGAGAAATATGGCTACTTTAATGGAATCAGCTGGTCTGTTCGAAGTGAATGTACCTGACTTTAAACAATTGAAACAATGTAGAAAGGAGATCAAACTTTTGAAGACATTGTGGGATTATATTATTATTGTTAAAAGTAGTATTGATGATTGGAAAACAACGCCATGGAAAGAGATTAACGTGGAACAGATGGACATGGACTGTAAAAAATTTGCAAAAGATATCCGAATGTTAGACAAGGAAATGCGAGCCTGGGACTCCTACATGGGTGTTGAAAATATGGTGAAAAATATGTTGACATCATTAAGAGCTGTCGGTGAATTGCAAAATCCTGCCATTAGAGAAAGACATTGGCAACAACTTATGGCTGCCACCAAGGTACGTTATGGGAAAATATTTTGTAATAGGAGGAAATAACCTGAAACTTATTGCAAAGTGACAACAGATTTATAGTCGTTGGTACTTAGTTTTTGATAGACTCAAATTATTTTCAAACATAAAAATACAAACAATATAAGGTTAATACCATAACTGCCAATTTTTTTTTTTTCCAAAATAGATTTTAAATTTTTGTTTGCTCTTTCAGGTACGCTTCATGATGGATGATAGTACAACATTATCAGATCTTCTGTCTCTCAATCTACATAACTATGAAGAAGAAGTACGTACTATAGTAGATAAGGCTGTTAAAGAAATGAGTATGGAGAAGGTCCTGAAAGAATTGGACGTCACCTGGTCTACCATGGAATTCGAACATGATAAACATCCTAGAACAGAAATTACAATTCTCAAAACAAGTGAAGAACTTATTGAAACTCTGGAAGACAACCAGGTCAGACATTTTATTAATTCATCTAATGACCTCATATATAGAACTTTATTATGACATCATAGATGATTGGATATTTTCAACTAGGTCTATATGATTAATGATGCAATTTGATAATGAAGCATATTAGTCTCTAAACCAAAATTAGAATTCAAATTCGAGTTTAATTATGTTCCACATATTTTGTGATTTAGGATGTTAAGATTTTTAGTTTATTTTAAATTTCTGTTCCCTTTACTTGCTGAATTTTAAGAATTCAAAATTGCAATTGAATTACTCAAACTGTAATATTTGTATTTTAGGTACAACTGCAAAACATGATGACCTCCAAATACATTGCCCATTTCTTGTCTGAAGTATCAAACTGGCAGAAGAAGCTCTCTACTGCTGATCAAGTTATATCTATCTATATGGAAGTACAGAGAACATGGACCCATTTGGAAAGTATCTTTATCGGTTCCGAAGATATCAGGAATCAGCTACCAGAAGATTCCAAGAGATTTGATAATATCGATAATGATTTTAAGGTGGGTAACATTTAGACAATTTAGAATAGGAATGCATTTTTTTGTCACACAAAATTAATGAAACATCATCCAAAAGCGAAATGTTCTTGGAATACAACAGACATCCTATATTTCTGATTATCGACTGTCCACAATTTGAAAGAAAAATACTATATAGATTTTCTATTTTTTTGTAGGAACTTGTCAAGGAAGTAGAAGTAACCAAAAACTGTGTAGATGCTACAAATAAACCTAATTTATATGAAAGATTAGACACATTACAAGGACAGCTTAGTCTTTGTGAAAAAGCTTTAGCAGAATACCTAGAAACTAAACGTTTAGCCTTCCCCAGATTTTACTTCGTTTCGTCAGCAGATTTGTTAGATATTTTATCTAATGGTAATAATCCACCAGTGGTAAGTCCAGCTGTTATTTTTTATAAATTTTTCTAAATGTCTGACGTATGTTGTTAAGCTTTTATCTGTTTCAAGATTTTTAAAAAAAATATAAACCGGTATACTATATATATTCTTTTACTAATGAATTCTACTTTTTCTTATTGTACAGTGTCAGAGGTCAGAACAGTTGGACTTTTAATCTCATTTCATTTCTGATTTTACTGAATAGTATAAGCTTTTACTTTAATATGCTTCCACATTGTTAATTTATTATTCATGTATTTTAGGTGGCTCGTCATTTAACAAAACTATTTGACAGTTTGGCATCTCTAGAGTTTGAGAAAGATTCAAGTGAAAACCTTTTGAAGTCGGCAACTTGCATGCACAGTAAAGATGGCGAAATGGTGACATTAAATAAACCATGTGATCTAAATGGACAGGTTTGTAAATTAATTTGAAAATATTTGTTTTAATTTTGGGACCAGAAGCTGGGCCTCAGTTGCCAATTTTCTGGTTCTTGGTGGGGCAACACACTTTCAAAAAACATACTTGTTCCTTGGACAATTGTGCATCAATTGAGGCACTTCAATTTTTGGTATGACTTAAGTTTTACATGAATTGCTTGTTCTCAGTTATATCCTTTGTAAACAGCCAAAGCAGTCAAACTGACTGAATGTTCAATGCTCGAGAAAGTGATTATTATTATTAAATGAAAATGTTTTATTTTTTTAAATCAGGTTGAAGCATGGTTGAATCGGTTATTAGAGGCTATGAAGGCTACAGTTTTACATGAATTAAATGAAGCTGTACAAGGTTATGAAGAGAAACCCAGAGATCAATGGTTGTTTGATTATCCAGCTCAAGTTGCTCTGTGTGGTACTCAGATCTGGTGGACAACAGAAGTCAATATTGCGTTTGGTAGATTAGAAGAAGGTTATGAAAATGCCCTAAAAGATTACAATAAAAAACAAGTAAGTGTAGTTTATGATATTGAAGGCAAAAAACAGATTCCAAAAAATAAATATATCTATTGATGTCTATTGTAATGTATTGGGCTGAACAACTAATATTCAAAAGGCAGTATCACTCTTTTCCAATAATTAATGACATTGAAATAAAAATATAGAATTGTTATTTTAATGGAGATTTCTTTGGAATATATTTTTTACCAATTTCTTTTATTTCAGATTACTCAGTTGAATGCTTTGATTACCATGTTAATCGGTAAACTGTCATCTGGCGATCGACAAAAAATCATGACAATATGTACTATTGATGTACATGCTCGTGATGTCGTAGCCAAAATGATTACACAAAAAATAGACAGTTCACAGGCTTTCTTGTGGTTGTCACAGCTTCGACATCGCTGGGATGATAATCAGGTGGATTGCTTCGCCAACATCTGTGACGCTCAATTCAGATACTCACACGAGTATTTGGGTAACACTCCACGATTGGTCATCACACCCCTTACTGACAGGTATGTTCAATATTCATTTGACCATTTCTGTTAAATTATTAATTATGAGCTTAAATGTAAACATTAAGTTTGATTTCGAATTGGAACAAATGAACTGCAAGTACAGTATTTTTTGGTTTACTTATGTATTTCATTCATTTATATGACATTACCTTTTTGTTGGTTTTTCATTCCATCTCTCACTAATTGTTAATTTCTCTTCATCTTTTAATTCCAGATGTTATATTACATTGACCCAGTCTCTACATTTAGTTATGAGTGGAGCTCCTGCTGGCCCGGCTGGTACTGGTAAAACAGAGACTACCAAAGATTTGGGCCGAGCTCTTGGTATTATGGTCTATGTATTCAACTGCTCAGAACAGATGGACTACAAGGTAATGATTCAACATTGAATTTAACATTAAAGGCAATGTATATTGGTGAATACCACAAAGAAATGAAAATAACTATACATTAGTCTTAAAATAACCTAGTTAAATTTTAAGGGGTCATTACATTCAATTCAATTTATTATAAAAAGAATTGAAACCTGGTTGATAAACTGACATTTAAAATATTTAGATAGTGAATCCCTTTAAATTATATAGTGATTCCCTTTAAAGTATTTACTGATTCCCTTTAAAATATTTAGTGATCCCTTTAAAGTATTTAAATAGTGATTCCCTTTAAAGTATTTAAATAGTGATTCCCTTTAAAGTATTTAAATAGTGATCACCTACAAAATAATTAGATAGTAATTCCCTTTAAAATATTTAGGTAGTGATGATTCTCTTTGAAATATTTATTTAGTGATTCCCTTTTACTATATTTAGATGGTGATTCCCTTTAACATATTTATTCATTGATTCCTTTTAAAATATTTAGATGGTGATTCCTCTTAAAGTATTTAGGTAGTGAATGTTAAAAATATTTAGATTTTAAAGTATTTAGGTAGTGATTCTGTTAAAAATATTTAGATTTTAAAGTATTTAGGTAGTGATTCTGTTAAAAATATTTAGATTTTAAAGTATTTAGTGATTATCTCTATTTACCACAAATAAATTTTTCATTTGTTTTATTTTTCAGTCCATTGGTAACATCTATAAAGGTTTAGCTCAGTCTGGATCTTGGGGTTGTTTTGATGAATTTAATCGTATTTCTGTGGAAGTGTTATCTGTAGTTGCTGTACAGGTGAAATGTATCCAAGATGCTATCAGAGATAAAAAAGACATCTTTAATTTCCTTGGTGAGGTGATCCGCATGGTACCTAGCGTTGGCATCTTCATCACTATGAATCCGGGTTATGCTGGTAGAACTGAATTGCCAGAAAATTTGAAAGCACTATTTAGGTAATTATCTTTAAATATTATTTGTTAATTTATAGCTGAAAATACTTTAGCAGGTAATTCAAAAGTATATGTTTGTTTCTCATATTTCAGTAGGAAATGAGTTAAATACATGTATCTGAAAAGTTAAAAGATGTATGTTTCTGTGGAAAATGTAACTACTAATTTTTTTTCCTCTCTGAAATAATATTTCAAAATATATATTTTTCTGTTTTATTTCAGACCATGTGCTATGGTTGTTCCTGATTTTGAACTGATTTGTGAAATTATGTTGGTAGCTGAAGGTTTCTTAGAAGCCAGACTATTAGCTCGTAAATTTATTACACTTTATAGTTTGTGTAAAGAATTACTGTCAAAACAGGTAAAGCTTCTTGTCAAGTATTTGTCATCATTTAGAAATATTTTGGCTATAAAATGTCTTTTAATTGACATACAATATTCTCAACTTATTGTCTATAAATATAAAGTCTATATTTGTATTTTGTGTTGTTTTATAGGATCATTATGATTGGGGTTTAAGAGCTATTAAATCCGTATTGGTAGTAGCTGGTTCGTTAAAGAGAAGTGACCCAGGAAGACCAGAAGATCAGGTAGGTTCTTGATTCATGGAATGTAATGCAACCAATAATTATAGATCAAAGGGTTATATTCTTGTGATAAATTAACATTTACACCTGAATGCAACTACAAATATCCATTAACTGTCTGATATAGAAAGAATGAAATTTACATCATAGTTAGATATAAAATCGTAGAAAGACTGAACATATAATCTATGGCACCATAATAGTATATTTAGTACCGTATTAAGAATTTTTATGGAATGTGTAAGATTATAAATTCTAAAAATATTCCTTAACTGTCTATGATATAGAAAGAATGAAATTTAAAAGGTATGATATGAATGTATTAAATGCATATGTAGTTAGATATAAAAATTTAGAAAAGAGTGAACATATAATCTGTGATACAGTAATAGTATTAAGAATTTTTGTAGAATGTGTAAGATTATAAACTCTAGCTCTGTCTCTGCTCTAGAGAAAAGATGAGTTTGATTGTAAAACTAGATATTAGTATTGAATGTATAACTATTTATAATCGTTATTAAGGAACGCATCAATCAGGTAAGATAGTTGTAACACAAAATACAACGCATGGTCAGATGTACGAGATCTTCACGATTACTATATGATTTTACAAAAAATAGAAGTTAGCAATAAGCAATCACGTTTATGATGTAAAATATTTGTAGCATGTCTGTTTCACAATGATGCATTAAAATAGGAATCTGTTTCATAAATAAGAATATATAAATGTCTGTTTTTCTTGCATGATTAATTTTTCTCATTTTTTTAAAATCCTGAAGAAACAATGCTAAATTGTATAAATTTATGTACCATTAGTTTTAAAGTTTTTGTTGGTATCAAGGGTTTTACAATTCACCAGTGAATTACTCCAATATTAAAGTTCTCATAATTTGATTCTACTACCTTTGATTCAGCTGCAAAATGTGTGCAATTCAATAAATCTTTTTATTTAAATATAAATTTTTGTTTTTAACAGGTATTGATGAGAGCCTTGAGAGATTTCAACATCCCCAAAATTGTAGCAGATGACATGCCCATTTTTATGGGTCTGATCTGTGATCTGTTCCCTGCATTAGATGTACCCCGTAAACGTAATCTAGAATTTGAAGCCCTGATTAAACAAGCCACATTGGATCAGAAACTACAACCAGAAGATAACTTTATCCTAAAGGTTTGTACTCATTAAAAAACTTCAGTAGTTTTCAATAGTGGCTCTTTGATTTAATTTTATTTTCCCAGTCAGAAGACCTCATCCTTCCATATCCAATAAAATTTCTATCTAAATAGATTATGGAACCTACCTGAACCTCTTGCTTATTCGTTTCTTGCTAGATTCACAGTGGGCTTTGATTTTTGACATTCATTTAAAAATTTTAATTTAAAATTGTATTTTAAATTAATATCGATATTTGATTTTACAGGTCGTGCAGCTTCAGGAATTGTTTGAAGTACGACATTCTGTGTTTTTATTGGGTAACACAGGTACCGGCAAAAGTGGAGTATGGAACACACTTATTAAAACTTATCGTAACCAAGGCAAGAAACCTATGGCTGTCGACCTTGACCCTAAAGCTGTCACCAATGATGAATTGTTTGGAGTTATTAATCCTGCAACTAGAGAATGGAAAGATGGTAAGCTTTTTAAGAATATTTGAAAAAGTATATTTAATTAAATTTCTAGAGTATATATTTCCCTGCTTTATATATACATGGTTTTCTATTTAAATGATTAACTTCAATCGAATCAAGTTCTGATCATATAAACCAACCACTTCAATCCTTATAATAATTGCAAATAAACTTCTATATATTATATTTTAAAAATGAATCCGCAATTTCTTAATTGTTTTTATTTTTTGCAGGATTATTCTCAGTTGTAATGAGAGATTTGGCTAATATGACAGGTGATGCACCAAAATGGATTGTACTGGATGGAGATATTGATCCCATGTGGATTGAATCTCTAAATACTGTCATGGATGATAATAAAGTTTTAACATTAGCCAGTAATGAACGTATCCCCCTCACACCATCCATGAGACTTCTGTTTGAAATCAGCCATCTGAAAACTGCTACACCTGCCACTGTATCCAGAGCTGGTATTCTCTTTGTGAATCCTCAAGATTTGGGATGGAATCCGTATGTATTGTCTATAGATATTGATGATTAATTGTATGGAAATTGATATATCTATGCAAAGTTTAAAAAGTTATCTTTTAATGTCTATATTATGTTTCACCCTTGGTAAAGACTCTACCTCATAATAAACTTACACTGTCTGTTGTCAATTGTCTTCACTTGAGAACTCACATGATGTTAGTTGATCAGCATTTTATTCCAACATTGACGATGTTTATGGTATTTCTGCAACTTGCAATCGATTCATTTAGTTGAAAATAATGTGTCAAGGGAGATAACCTCTAAGCGGATGTATCACCCTCTCAGACCTTTCTTGGCTCCTTTTTAATTTGAACTTGTTCTTCATTCTGTTGATTTTCCTAATTGTTACTTGAATATAATTTAATACATTCTTATTATTTCAGATATGTTCAGAGTTGGATTGATACTCGTGAAGTACAATCAGAACGAGCCAATCTTCTTATTCTATTTGATAAATATGTACCAACGTGCCTGGATGTTTTACGTCATCGATTTAAAAAGATTACACCTATTGCCGAGATCTGCCACATACAGATGTTATGTCATCTATTAGAATGTTTGTTAACACCAGAGAATACACCACCAGACTGTGCTAAAGAACTATACGAATTATACTTTGTCTTTGCCTCTGTGTGGGCTTTTGGTGGTGTCATGTTCCAAGATCAGGTAATTGGGATTTGTAGATCAGAAGTTTTGAGATATTGCTGGTTCGATTTATGATTATTGACAAATAAACTTCCTGCTTGCTGTTTGGATTTTGCTGCAAGAGATTATTTAATATTTTAGTCTCTTAATTTACATCTCATCACAATTTTATTTGAAGAGAATCTGAGAATGATGTCTTGGAATTACAGTTTACCCAATTTGAAAAATTCATTTAAACTATATGAATTTGATACGATCTCTTGAAGTAATACACATATTATTTTTTGATTGTTGCCTCAATTTCCATATTTTTGTATAAACCTATTTCAGTTGGCTGATCACAGAGTAGAATTTACAAAATGGTGGACAACAGATTTTAAAACTATTAAATTCCCACATCAAGGAACAGTATTTGATTATTATATAGATTCAGAAACAAAGAAATTTGAATTGTGGACGAAACGAGTTCAACCTTTTGAATTAGATCCCGATATTCCATTACAGGTTGGTTTACGCTTAGTTTTTATCTTTGAATACAGTAAACTATTCATTTTTACAAGATGTATATTATTTTATATGTGGCTCAAAATTAGAATAGTTTTTATCTTTTGAATACAGTAAACTATTACTTTTATTCAATATTAAATTATGTGATGTATGGCTCAAAATCAGAATAGATTTTTGATGTGGATTTCTTATTTATTAAATAAACATTAATTTTTTTTAGGCTGCTATGGTCCACACAGCAGAAACAACTCGTGTTAAATATTTCTTGGACATGCTGGTTGAGAAACGACGACCTGTTATGTTGGTTGGTAATGCTGGTACAGGTAAAACAGTACTGATGGCAGATAAACTGCTCAACTTATCCGAAGATTATATGGTAGCTAATGTACCTTTCAACTTCTATACAACATCTGAAATGTTACAAAGAATTCTGGAGAAACCATTAGAGAAAAAAGCTGGTCGTAACTATGGTCCACCCGGTACAAGACGCCTTATCTACTTTGTTGATGATATGAACATGCCAGAGGTAAATAAAATTTGAATTACTGATATTTTTGTCAAAAGGATGAAAACATCTTTTAGTACAGTACAATGTAAATTTATGATTGGTAGGGTCTTGAATTTATCCAATTTGAATACATTCTTGGTGTAGATAATTTGAAACTAGTTAAATGCTTTAAGTTTTACAAAAGTTTTGGCAGTGAGATAGAAATTTAATTTTAAAATCTATAAATTCTTAAATGCTTTAAAGCGATAATGTATCTATGCAAGCCAGAATAAGTTTTGATCATTTATCCGCCTTTAATGAGAGAAACTGTTGAATTGTAACAGGAGGTTAAGATCTGGTCCTTGGAATAATCTTTCTTAATGTCCATTTATCTCTCTATAACATCATTAGAATTTTCAAACATTGTACTTAAGAAATATGGAGTTTTGTAAGATTCTATAAGTTTGTAGATTGACCATAATTAATAACAAATTGTTACTTTTACTAATTCACTTGGAAAATATATCTTTTTTTGATAATGTTGATTATTTTGTGGTATGATTATTTCAGGTTGATAAATATTTCACAGTACAACCTCACACAATGATTCGTCAACATATAGATCATGGTCATTGGTATGATAGAACTAAACTCACACTTAAAGAAATACATAATACACAGTATGTGGCTTGTATGAACCCCACTGCTGGTAGTTTTACCATCGATCCACGTCTGCAAGTAAGTAATAAAATTAACTCAGCACCAAGTCTATATCAGTAAGTTATCCACATAAAAAATTTATTATTTAAATGTTTAAGGAAAAAAAAGTTTAAGGAAAAACAAGTAAAAGCTTACAATGGATAGATAGTAACCGAGCTTGACGTCATCACCTCCATCTGTGATGTCATATCAAAGTCTGTCAATCGATGCATAATTATCCAAGGATAATCGTATTTAAATTGGGGAAGCCTTTTTTTTTTGAAGAGCATCGCTCCCAAAAACAACAAAATCAGTGGCAGTTGAGGCCCAGTTCCTGTTTCGAAAATAGTGAATCACTAATAATATCACAGAAAACTAATTGCATGTAACTAGTCAGTAAGGTATTTCAAAAACAATTGAATCATTTCAAAATGAAGTGTAATTAGATTTTGTAATTATTTTTTTCAGCGTCACTTCTGTGTTTTTGCTATGAGTTTCCCTAACCACGATGCTCTGAAGACCATTTATACTAGTATCTTGTCTCAGCATCTGGCCTTAAATAATTTTGTTCCTGCTGTCCAGAAATTTACAGAACCAATAGTTAACGGTGCTCTAACTCTACATAGTAAAGTTACAACAACTTTCTTACCAACTGCCATCAAATTCCATTATATTTTCAACTTAAGAGATTTATCCAACATTTTCCAGGTATCGTATATATAGTTTATCAATAGATCTTTATTAATTACATCAAATCTGCTGCAAAAATACATCAGATGAGCTGAAAGATGCATTATGTAAGAGCTGAATCTGCCTAATGCAGATCTTTCTTTCTGCCTCATGCCAAGCTCATAATCAATGCTCTAGAACATCTGATGCTTTTGATTTTCAACAGATTTAAACATGATTGTTAGTTAATGATTTAATTAAAAATGGATAATCGAGACTTTGTTAATTATTGCAACAACGGTAGCAATTACAGTCGAGACTACACTGTTTTTCTAACGGCATTAAATCTGCTCAGAATGAAGTAATTTGACTGAAATATTGAAATATTCAACATTCCCTTTTCTATATCTATTTTTATATAACTATTATGACGAAAACTGTCAGCACATTATCTAAATCTTACATAATGGATTAATGCATCTTTAATTGAGCCAAAGTCTGGCGTGCCATTGAAATATTTTAGACCAATTTAATTTGTTGGCTGCTTCAGAAAAGATTAATTGTTTTGAGAGCATGCATTTCATTCACAATTTTTTAAATTTGTTTTTCAGGGTATATTGTTTTCTCTCAGTGATTGTGCTAAGACACCTGTAGATCTTGTTCGACTTTGGGCTCATGAAGCAACAAGAGTTTATCATGACAAACTAACAGATTTAAAAGATATTGAATTGTTTGAAAAAGTACAAAAGGATGTTGTGAAAAAAGTCTTTGAGGTAAGATCATAATTTTTGGTTGTCATATGCTATATATGATTATATAATTTTTGGATGTTATGCTATGGGATTGAAAATTTGAAAGATACTCTATTCAGACTATTGGTTAAGAATAGATATTGTCAAACAAATAAATGTTTTTGACTACCATTCTAACGATTTCTATTTTTATATGTGATTATATAATACTTGGTTGTCATGCTATGGGATGATATAATTTATATTTGAAAATTTTAAAGATATTCTATTCAGACTATTCATTAAGAATGTTGTTTTTTTTTTTGACTACCATTCTAACGATTTTTATTTTTCAATGTTTTGTAGGATATTGATGATACCGTCGTCTTCCAGCAACCCAATTTGTTTTGTCATTTTGCTCTTGGTATTGGAGAACCCAAGTATTTACCAGTTCCAGGCTGGACTGAACTCAATAAAATTTTAGTAGAAGCTCTAGACAATTACAATGAGTTGAATGCTGCTATGAATCTTGTGCTGTTTGAAGATGCTATGATGCATGTTTGTCGTATCAATCGTATTTTAGAATCTCCACGGGGTAATGCCTTATTAATTGGTGTTGGTGGTAGCGGTAAACAGAGTTTATCGCGTCTCTCTGCCTTTATCAGTAGTTTAGATGTATTCCAGATAACTCTCCGTAAAGGATACAGTATTGCTGATCTCAAAACAGATATCGCCACACTTTATAAAAAAACGGGAATCAAGGGTGTTGGTACCATGTTCTTAATGACTGATGCTCAAGTTCCAGATGAACGTTTCCTTGTATTAATCAATGATTTACTGGCCTCCGGTGAAATTCCAGATCTTTTTGCTGATGATGAAATAGAAGAGGTCATCAGCGGTGTGCGTAATGAAGTAAAAGGTCAAGGGTTAGAAGACACAAGAGAAAATTGTTGGAGATATTTTATTGATAAAGTGCGAAAAACATTAAAAGTCGTGCTGTGTTTCTCCCCAGTTGGTGCCACATTACGTGTTAGAAGTAGAAAATTCCCTGCTATAACAAACTGTACAGCCATTGATTGGTTCCATGAATGGCCTGAAGAAGCCTTGTGTTCTGTCAGTGCCAGATTCTTAGAAGATATAGAATTATTACAAGTAAGTCTTGCTGTATATATGCGTATTCTGTAAAGTGTTTTCTTCACGATTTTTGTTGTCACATGCTGGAAAGGTGTGGGTTTTAATCGTAGAATACTTTGATGAACTTTGGATTGCAATGAGTCAATGACAGTCACTAACAAAACGCTACATTCTTACAACTGAATATTGGGAAGAATTCTGGTATGCTTTCATACAAGTTTGGTCTGTAGTGATGATCAACATGAATATTAAACTGAAAACAATTAATTTTCTGTAGACATATTTTTGTTCTGTATATTCTAAGTCATTAGTGTGTAGGTTTTGCTTTTATAATCTAGCTACGCTCAATTATATTATGCTACAATCTACACAATCAGTTTATAAACTAAGAATTTGTTTACTAATTTTACCCATACCTAATGGCTAAATGAATTAACCTCCTGCTATGTTGAATTACACATGAAATCAACAACAAAATCTAAACTTTGGTACCCTATATGTATTTTGCTTTCTTATACTGATTTTATATAACCTTTTTTTTTATTATTTAAAGACTAATACCAAAGCTGCTATTGCCAAGTTCATGGCTTATGTTCAGAAATCTGTCAATGATATAAGTCAACTTTACTTAACTAATGAAAGGCGTTATAACTACACAACACCAAAAAGTTTTCTGGAACTCATCAATCTTTACCAGAATTTACTGAATATAAAAAACAAAGAACTACAAGCAAAAATTATACGATTGGAGAATGGTTTAGAAAAGTTGAGAAGTACAGCCTCTCAGGTATGTTATTTACATAAATGAACAAAAAAATGTTAACTTTTTTTGAGAATGAGAAAATAAAAATCAGACTTGAACCCTGTCATTATTCAAGCAATGGAGTTTGATAAAATAGATAAGCTTACAAAATTTATCTATTTGAAATTAAAAGTTTCACATTCGGTTTCCCTTTGTAAAGAAAATTAGTTTGAATTTCAACAGATAAATTTATGTGTCGAATCGAATGTTTCAGAAACATTAATTAGAAGTTTAAATTTATTTGGTATTCACATACATGAAGACATACTATACAATGTTGCTGCGTTCCATTATTAACTCTAAGTGAGAAAGACTTCAATTGCTTTAATTGTATGGATAGCCTATTTAGCTTCAATTGTATGGATAAACCATATCTACTAAACTATTACATTCAACTGAAAAATGTTCATAAAAATATTTAAAATATGACAGCCATATAAAATAGATTGTATTTGATTCATTTCTCATATTTCAATGCAAAATGGATACCTGTTAAGTATTACATACAATTCTATAGGTTGATGACTTGAAATCCAAATTGGCTTCTCAAGAAGTAGAATTAGCCCAGAAAAATGAAGATGCCAACAAATTGATTCAAGTTGTGGGTGCAGAAACTGAAAAAGTAACAAAGGAAAAAGCCATTGCTGATGAAGAGGAACAGAAAGTTTCTAAGATTACAGTTGAGGTCGAGAAGAAAGCTGCTGATTGTGAGAGGGATTTGGCGAAGGCTGAGCCAGCTTTATTAGCTGCTAAAGAGGCTTTGAATACATTGAACAAGGTTTGTTTTAACGTTATAATAGAAGTAATTTCAAATTGATCAAAAAATCTGGACAACTATCCTGAGCTCTGTGATACTATTTTGAAAGAAATCCAAGATTTCATTTTCCATGTAGGTTGGTGAATGGTTACCAAATTAGCAATATTTTGATTTGAAGCTCTCCAACAAGGTTCTGTGAATTTTTGCTTTTTATTAAACCCCCTTTAAAGTTGAGATATCAAAGATCGTTTTATAAACAGTTTTAAAATGATTTTTATATAAGATTTTCTCTTTACTATTATATTTTTGTCTTTACAGAACAACTTAACGGAGTTGAAATCTTTTGGTACACCTCCAACTGCTGTCACAAATGTAACTGCTGCCTGCATGTGTTTGTTAGCACCTGGTGGAAAGGTTCCTAAAGACAAGAGTTGGAAGTCTGCAAAAAGCTCAATCATGAATAAGATTGATGCATTTTTGGATAATCTTATTAATTATGATAAAGATAACATCCCCGATGCTTCATTAAAAGCTGTACAGCCATACCTCAACGATCCTGAATTTGAACCTGACTTCATCAAATCGAAATCCCTTGCTGCTGGTGGACTGTGTGCCTGGGTTGTGAATATTGTTATGTACTATAATGTCTTCTGTACTGTAGAACCGAAAAGATTGGCTCTTAAAGCTGCCAATGATGAATTGTCTGCTGCCAGAGAAAAGTTACGTGTCATCAAGGCTAAGGTAGCCGAATTGGAGGCAACATTAGCCTCGTGTCAAGCAGAGTTTGAAAGAGCTACTTCCGAAAAACTCAGATGTCAACAGGAAGCAGAAAGCACTGCTAAAACAATTGAGTTGGCTAATCGTCTTGTTGGTGGTTTAGCGTCTGAGAATGTAAGATGGGCAGAGGCTATTAATGGTTATCGCGAACAGGAGAAGAGTTTACCTGGTGATGTTCTCATTACAACTGCTTTCATATCATACGTAGGTTGCTTTACTAAGTCGTACCGTTTGGATTTGATGGACAACTACTGGCTACCGTATTTGAAAGACAAATCTGACACCATACTTGTATCAGAAGGTTTTGATCCGCTCTCACTGCTGATTGATGATGCCCTTATTGCTACATGGAATAACGAAGGTCTACCTGGTGACAGAATGTCAACCGAGAACGCAACAGTATTAACTAGTTGTCAACGCTGGCCTCTTATGATTGATCCACAATTACAAGGTATTAAATGGATTAAGAAAAAATATGGTGCTGATTTGAAAATTATCCGTCTCGGAGCTAAAGGTTACTTGGAAGCTATTGAGAGAGCCGTGACAAATGGTGATGTGGTTCTTATTGAAAATATTGGTGAGAGTATCGATCCTGTACTTGATCCATTGTTAGGAAGAAATACCATCAAGAAGGGTCGAGCTATTAAAATGGGAGACAAGGAAGTGGAGTATCATAAAGACTTTAAGCTTATTTTACAAACCAAATTAGCTAACCCTCACTACAAACCAGAAATGCAGGCTCAGACAACTCTGATTAACTTCACTGTAACAAGAGATGGTTTAGAAGAACAGTTGTTAGGAGCTGTTGTCAGTAAAGAAAGACCCGATCTTGAGAAATTGAAAATGGATTTAACACATCAACAGAATGAATTTAAGATTACACTGAAAGAGCTTGAAGACAACCTTCTGGCTCGGTTATCAGCTGCAGAGGGAAATTTCCTTGGAGATTATGCCCTCGTTGAGAATTTAGAAACCACAAAAAGAACAGCAGCTGAAATTGAGGTGAAGGCTGCCGAAGCCAAGAAAACTGAATTCGAAATTAACAAAGCTCGTGAAGATTATCGTCCAGCTGCATCTCGAGCTTCCTTACTATACTTTATTATGAATGATTTACTTAAGATTAATTTGATGTACCAATTTTCATTGAAGGTAAGTTATATATAAACACCATGTGTATAATATGTGACTTTATAATTAGTAGAACATAATTTAATGAATCCAGTTTTGTTTAAAGAGTTCTGTTCACTTACAATACACAGTGAATTTGATATAAATTACATTATCAAGAGTAGTACTAGAATTTAACTTTTTAAAAACAAGTGTCGTGTAAAGAGATCATTTCTGGATTATTTTTTTTTTTTTTTTTTTCTTCAGGCTTTTAGCGTAGTATTTGACAAGGCTATTGATAAGGCCGAGCCAGCTGAAGATGTCAAACAGCGTGTGATAAACCTTATCGATTGTATAACCTTCTCAGTATCCACCTACACTACAAGAGGATTGTTTGAGAAGGATAAACTTATCTTTTCTACGCAAATGGCTTTCCAGATTCTTCTCATGACTAATGAGATTAATCCTGTAGAGCTTGATTTCTTGTTACGTTTCCCAGCTCAACAAAATGTCACCACACCAGTAGATTTCCTCAACAGTAACTCGTGGGGAGGAATAAAGGTAAAACATTGATAATTATTGTTTAAAGATTAACTCTCTATCATGCGGAATAAAGTAACTCTCTATCATGCGGAATAAAGTAATTCGATTGAATTCTGTTACTTTTGTAATTGAAAAAACAAAATTGGCGTTACTTTTTCAAATGGACCAAAAATTTGGGGGGGTACATTTGTAATTCCCCCCAAAAAAATTGGGAGGTACTTGTGTAATTGATTTAATATAATTTGGGGTATTTTGGTAATTGAAAGAATATAATTTTGGGTACTGGTGGCGGTACTATTGTAATTGAAAAGATATAATTTTCCTAGAAACTTGCTAACAAAACATTTTTATACACATTAGTAGATTACAAAAGCAATCTTATCCTTTCATGGGGAAAGGCCAACAAGTTTTCAACCAATAACTTATTTAAGTCAAATTAAGAACTTGTGGGCCTTAATATATCTGAATCGGTCTAGTTTTAATTCTTCAGTAATATTTTTTTTAGGCATTAGCTTCTATGGAAGAATTCCGTAATTTAGATAGAGATATTGAAGGATCAGCTAAAAGATGGAAGAAGTTCGTAGAAAGTGAATGTCCAGAGAAAGAAAAATTCCCTCAAGAATGGAAAAACAAAACATCACTTCAGAAACTATGCATGATGAGAGCTTTACGTCCTGACAGAATGACCTATGCCATAAGGTATAATTTAAATTTAAACTTGGTAATTTATAATTTTATTTTGGCATTTTTACAAGAAGTTACTTAAAGAAAGCATTTCTGGTAATTTTTTCTTTTTTTTTACATTTCATACATATTATGTTTATGTCATTTATGACCTTTTCTCTCCCAAAACGTGTACTTAATACAGCTTATATCCAATCTTTCAGGAACTTTATTGAAGAAAGAATGGGAACAAAATATGTAGAAGGCCGAGCTGTTGAATTCAGTAAGTCCTTCGAAGAATCAGGACCCGCTACACCAGTCTTCTTTATTCTATCACCTGGTGTTGACCCACTGAAAGATGTAGAAGCTATCGGTAAAAGACTCGGATTTACAGAAGATAACAAAAACTTCCACAATATATCTCTTGGACAAGGTCAGGAAATTGTAGCAGAACAAGCAATGGACATTGCAGCTAAAGATGGACATTGGGTCATTTTACAGAATATTCATCTTGTAAGTAAATGGTTATCAACTTTAGAGAAGAAACTAGAAGAATACAGTGAAGTAGGACATGATGATTATCGTGTATTTATTAGTGCTGAACCTGCTTCATCAAACGAGTATCACATTATACCTCAGGGTATCCTGGAACCAGCTGTCAAGATTACCAACGAGCCCCCGACTGGTATGTTTGCCAATCTACATAAAGCCCTTGATAACTTCACTCAGGATACACTCGAGATGTGCGCAAGGGAGACAGAATTTAAGAGTATTCTTTTTGCACTGTGTTACTTCCATGCTGTGGTGTGTGAAAGACGTAAGTTTGGACCTCAAGGATGGAATCGTGTGTACCCCTACAATACTGGTGATCTGACCATCAGTGTTAATGTACTGTATAACTATCTAGAAGCTAATGCTAAAGTACCATGGGAAGATTTGAGATATCTATTTGGAGAGATTATGTATGGAGGTCACATCACTGATGATTGGGATAGAAGACTATGCAAGACATATCTTGAAGTCTACATGCATCCGGAAATGGTAAGATTATTTCAAATAAAAAAAATTGAATTTCCAACAAGTATCCAAAGGATATGGATGATATACATGCCTTGAAATAAGGCACCTATCATAGATATTGACAGGTACAATCTTTCTGGTAACTGTCAATTTGTCTGGTACTGATTTGTCCCTTTTCTGTGTTTTTATCAATACCTTTAATACCTGTCTGGCATTATGTCAGGTACTCTAGTTCTGTAGTACCTGGCATTTTACCAGGTATCACTAAAACTGTTATATCCGGGCCTGATCCTATTTAAGATTTGTCTTGAAAATCTTTGTGATATTTTAGATGAAATAAATGAACATGTAACATTTATTAATAGTAAGAATAGGAATGATAAATCTCAAAGCCTTATTTTACACTGAACTAGCTTTAAACGATTACCTAAATTAATAGAAATCGTTTGTTTCACAATATCAATATCAGCAGTTAAAGATGTTACAAATGTCCCAGTTGGTTTATACTGAGCTTTAATCGATAATCATTTTATATTTCAGTTGGATGGAGAGTTATATTTAGCTCCCGGTTTCCCCATTCCACCAAACTCTGATTACAAAGGCTACCACAGTTACATAGATGAAGTTTTACCCCCAGAGAGTCCTTACTTATATGGTTTACATCCTAATGCTGAGATTGAATTCTTGACAACAACCTCTGATAATTTGTTCCGTACTGTGTTTGAGATGCAGCCACGTGATGCCGGAGCTGGGGCCGGTGCTGGTGTTAGTCGAGAAGAAAAGGTAAATTTGATCTTGCAAATGATTTATTTCACCATTGAAAGGAATAGAAAATTGTTGAGTCTGAATTCATATCCATGAAATCAATTCTACTGCAATTTAATTGCAGGCTTGTGCATTTTCCAATGTCAACATTATTTGTAGGAAGACTGACTAACTATAGCTTGCCCAATCACTAATAATCACCTTAATTTAGCAAAAAGGGTTCTGTTCCTTCATATATAATGAAAGTAGATTTTACGATTGAATTATTTTACCAAGTGAATAATTTTTATTTCAATTATCAGGTAAAGGGACTGTTAGATGAAATTGTTGAGAAACTTCCTGAAGAATTCAACATGCTAGAAATTATGGGTAAAGTACCACTAGAAGAAAGAACACCATACATTGTTGTTGCCTTCCAAGAATGTGAAAGAATGAATATGTTGACATCTGAGATTCGCAGATCTTTGAAGGAGTTAGATTTGGGTCTTAAGGTGAGTTGGATTCAGACAATTAATGAAAATAGAAGAAAACTTACCCAGCCTGCTTGTATGGTCATGAGAATAATTAACTCTTTGCTGATGAAGACAATCAGATGATGTCATAGTTAATTGACTTCATAATTCAGTGTCAAAGGTCTTAATGATGTCATAATCTAGTGATGTCATAATTGATGAAGTGTTGACTTTATGTTTCAGTTGGCCATTTGTAAATGAAAATGAAAATAATAGTTAAATACTGTATTTAGATTCTTAATTATGTTTGTATTTACTTGTAGGGTGAATTGACAATTACTGCCGATATGGAAGATTTGAGTAATGCGCTTTTCTTGGATACTATACCAGAAACCTGGAACAAGAAAGCTTATCCATCTTTGTATGGTCTTGGAGCCTGGTATGCTGATTTACTACAAAGAGTCAAAGAACTTGAAACCTGGACCTCTGATTTCCAACTTCCTGCAGCCGTATGGCTGGGAGGTTTCTTTAATCCACAGTCCTTCCTGACAGCTATCATGCAGCAGATGGCACGTAAGAATGAATGGCCATTGGACAGAATGTGTCTGCAGTGTGATGTAACGAAGAAGACACGAGAAGATATGGCCGGACCTCCCCGTGAAGGAGCTTACGTGCACGGTCTGTACATGGAAGGTGCTAGGTGGGACACACAGACAGGTATGATCAATGAAGCCAGACTTAAAGAGTTGGCTCCACCCATGCCTGTTATGTTTATCAAGGCCATCCCCGTGGACAGACAAGATACAAGAAATGTTTATGAATGCCCTGTATATAAAACAAAGAGCAGAGGTCCTACGTACGTCTGGACCTTCAACCTTAAAACCAAAGAGAAAGCCAGTAGATGGGTTCTCGGTGGTGTTGCTCTCCTATTACAAGTTTAAACATTTTAATCTACTCTATATCATCACATTATTTATATCAAAATCACTTCACATACTGAAAAATTCCACAAATGTACATTACAGAATATTTATTTGTCAGTGCTTAACAATATATTTTTCTAGTATTCTTATCTTATAAGACAATTTTGACAGATCCAGCCAGATATTAAGCAATAATTTTAAGAAACTTACTTCAGCATTGTATTTTCAAAACTTTAATTCAGCATTATTTTACAAAACATAAAAAAAAATTATAAAATGGAATATAAGCTTATAATTATAAGTTTAAATGTACCAGTACTGTATTAAGATTCTTTAAGATAACTCTGACAAATTCAGATATTAAAACATAAATTACATCAGCATTGTATATTTAAAAATTAAATCAGCATTATTTTACAAAATTCTGTTATATTTTTTGAATTTAAGATGTTCAAAGACTTCAGCATTAACACATCAGATTTTATTGTTTGAAAATGAAAAACCTTCCTTTTACTCCCTGTACATTGGTAATATTTATTTTTGAAAGAATATGGTTAAGTTTTGTCACAATACTTTCTGCCATGTTTTCTTATCAGTGTTCCGTCCATAACTGATTTGTTGATTTTTATTTAAATTGTTCATAAATTATTTATAAATTGTATGTAGGAAAATTCAACGCAGTTTGAATAAAATTATTTATTAAATAGTCTTTTTGTTACACCCCCCAACCCCCCCAATCACTAACACTGTGTAACTTTGATATCGTTGACTAAGCAAAAAAATAACTGTTATAAATGAAAATATAGGACACTAATAGATCGAAGTTGTCAGTTTATATACTTAATGTGTATTAGTTAAATTGTTAGTAATCAGGCAGTAGTCATTAGGTAGGTGTTATGTCACCAAGGTGTTCAAACTGTGACTATTGTCCAGGTTTGTGTATTCAATTTGATGGGTGTTATAGCCACACTTTTACACCAGCAGTGACATCTATACTATTCAAAAAAAGTAGGGGATATTTGATTTTGGGGGCATAATACTAAAATATGCAAATGACTACGAAAAAAGTCACTATAGAACCTAACAGAAGAAACATTTCCAGTTACATGTGACGCCCAAACGCACCAATAGCTACCGCATGGAATGCAGGTGATGCTTGGGATCATCATGGGGGTCCAACCCAAGATTTGCACGACTCTGACTTTGAATGTTACAGTCATTGTGGCATTGAATTCCAGGGTGGAAACATCAGTTTAATTGTTTTAGTGACCAGAAAACAAATTTTGATATGCGTCGGCTTACCCAAAATGAAAGGTTACATGCCCTTGGCATGCTACAGATCGGCACAACACAGGCGGTTGTGGCGCGGACGATGAATGTTTCTCAGTCTGTCATAAGCAGGCTATGGTCCAGATACCGTGATACACAATCTGTACAGGACAGACCACGCTCAGGTCTGATGTTTTCAGATGAGTCAAGGTTCACTGTTGATTTTTTGGACAGACGTAGGAGGGTGTGGCGTCGTCGAAACGAGCGCTTCCAAGACGTTAACGTCATCAGACATGATCGATTTGGGGGTGGTTCTGTTATGGTGTGGGGAGGCATCACTGTTGCTGGAAGAACGGCTTTACATGTTGTTGCAGGGCGTGTTACAGGCCAGTACTACCGGGACAACATCTTGGCAGTCCATGTTGTGCCGTTCGCACGACGTCATGGCCGCCGTTTCATCTTCCAGGATGACAACGCAAGATGTCACAGGGCCAGGATCGTTACAGGTTACCTCCAACAACAGAACATCACCACATTACCTTGGCCAGCACTGAGTCCCGACCTCCCCCCCATCGAGCATGTCTGGGACATGCTTGGACAGAGGTTACGTCAACGTCAACAACGTCCTGCCAATGTCCAAGAACTTGCTGCTGCGTTGCAACAGGAATGGGACAACCTGGACCAAAATGACCTTAGACGTCTCATTAGGAGTATGCCACGTCGGATCAATGCTTGTTTGGCAAACAGAGGAGGATTTACCCGTTACTGACTTGGTTGTGATGCTGTGGTAACTTTGCTGTTTGACCCCGGGTATCATTTTACCCTTATAATGGTCAGTCTGTGCCTTACTTAGTCTAACGATCATTTGGAATAAATCGATGAATGTGAACTTCATTTCATTTTGTCATTTGTTTCTTCGTCAGTTTCATTAGGTGACTTTAATAACATTTAAAAGTCAAATATCCCCTACTTTTTTTGAATAGTATATAACAGCTAGTTACACACCTGCTAATTAATGACAACTGCATAATTTCTAACCACTTTAAATACATACTAAACATATTACAGCTAGTCCGTGGCGCCGCCAGCCGCCGGTGGTTGGAGGGGCAAAGTCCAAGGTTAAGGGGGAAAAGGCACAAGCTTGTACTACGGGTAGGGGGGCCTCCCCCAGAAATTTTAGAAAACAGAAGCACTGGTCGTTGAGATAAAGTGTCAAACGACCGAACCTCGACGAAGCCCACTCACGAGTGCCAAATAGGGAATCCTTAAAGAGGGTATGTGGTATTTAGAAAAATAGACTGTCGGAAATGCTGTCTGACAGTATTTAGCAGCGATTGTCAGATACCATCTGTCGCCTGATCACTATAGTCTATCCGACCCCAGAGAGAAAAGTGTCAATTAATGAACGGACTTGCGAACCTCAACGAAGCCCCCGAAAAATTGAAAAGTATACTGCCAGAAATGCAGTATGGCAGTATTTCAGGCACTGATCATCGAGATAGAGCTTACCAGATACTGCCTGTCGCCAAATGGCTAGTTTATCCGACCGGAGAGGAAAGTGTCAAACGGAGTGAGTGAATCAAAGTGAATGAATATTTTCGCCACGATATTTTGTGAAATAGACTACCGGAAATGCAGCCGGGCAGTATTTCAGAAATAGAGCTGACCACATACTGTTCTTCGCTAAACCACCAGCTTATCCGAACAGAGGGGGAAATGTCAAACGAACAGTGTAAGTGAATGCATATTCTCGCCGCTTTGACCCAAAAACTTTGAGGATCGTAAAAGCATGGGCATGGATTTAGTGTGTGTGTGTGTGGGGGGGCTTAGTATCGGAAGGGGGGACGAATAGGTCTGTGCCCCCCCCCCCATGATTTTGATAGCCAGGACAGATTTTCAGGTTTATATCCACATGATGGTGAGCTTGTTTCTACGTATCTGGAACTGAATCGGGACTTGGAACAAGAATTGCCATTCTTCAAGCGCCAGTTTTTGGCCAAATCTATTTCGCTAGTGCACGAAGCGTTCCTCATGTCACCTGAAGTGAGGCAAATGTTCCCTTCTGTCGAAGCTCTTCTCATCTCACACTGCTGAACCCTGCTAGTTCAGCACTCTGCACCGTATCAAAACTTGGCTACGCAACTCCATGACGCAAAACCGACTGAACCACTTGATGCCTATGGCGTGTGCGGTGCATAATGACCCCCTTCATGTCGCCAAGATATCCAAAGAGAACAGTCCTGATTGTAGAACGATTGTCTTTGGACCATTCACTTAACTTCATGAACAATTAATATTTATGCAGCTTTGATGTAGGTGGTCAATTTTTTGCATATTGTCAACATATTACCCCCAGTTCCAGCCTTCATCGAAATAACACTGGTACAGTAAACTGTTCGTAATCATTTATTTCGTTTGGTAATGAAATGTTCCAGATTCCAGGGTTCGTCCGTTCCCCCCCCCCCCCCAAAAGTTGTGACAAATCCACGCCCTTGGTAAAAAGCACTTCTCAAGTGGTTCACGTGTTATTGTTTATAGTAGGTCTACAGCAGGATGGGCTTGGTAAGAAATCACTCTACAACATGCAAGTCTATGACTGAGTGGGAATGTGGGATTTAATCACCGTAGAAGGTATTGATTACCGAAACGTATCGCAAATACTTTTTTTTTCTCAAAAATTATTGGGTGTGGGGGGGGGGGGGAAACCAGATTTATTAGGGGGCAAAAGCGCCCCCTCCCCCCCCCAAAGCCACCACTTGAGCTAGTGACACTTAATGATAACTAAGCCAAAGCATTAATTTATTGGAAACGAGAAAACCCACGAGGTTGGGCAGGCGACCCTACTCCTTGTCACGTAACCACGCCAGTTGACTCAATGACAGACCTTATGATACAGCACGCACATGCTAACCCTTCGGCCATCCAACCCACCTAGAAAGATGGAAGATCAAATTTAATAAAAAAAAAATTATGAAGAACATTTTGCAAATTTGCAAAGTATTATAATTTTTTTATTTGAGGACTGAGGCTGGGAGGAAACTTTTGTATTTTATCTCCAAGCTTTAAAGGACAAGAGAAAACAATGTTCATAGAAATAATAACTTTATTCCAGTCTGTAAAGACCTAGGTTATAGGTGATATGTAAAATAACATGGGGTGTAATGGAAAGGCTGGTGGTAATACATGTATCACAGGGGCTTGACACATTAGATATTTGGTCTTGGTTCATGAAATCCTCTTTAATGAGTTAGTCAACTTCTTTTAAATTTAGATTTCCTGCACTAGCTACACCATTAGACATACAGTAGTAGGGCGGGGAAAAGTCCCCCACCCAACACACAATCTTAACTCCTTAAGTCAGTCTTCAAAAGCTACTGCATCAAGCCCCTGTAGGTAATACTAGGTATTTTCTATCACAGCAAAACCAGGCTAATAATAACTATACCATAAGTTACATCCTATTATTCATTAACATCATCCTTTAACAAAATAAATACTAATTTCTTCCATTCCCCTTAATATAGTTAATCATTGGCAATAATAATTCGATATATAATTATCTGCTATGATTGCCATTCATTATTGCCTAGACAATCAACCATGGTTCTTATATTAACCATTTTTAATTTACAGAATACATGTACAGTTTTACTTTGCATCACATTTGTTCATGAAATATACCTTAACTGGAGCAAGTTATTTAGGCCTTAGAAGAAACAATGCTATTTTATTTAATTGCTCAATTTTATTACTATGGAATTCGCCTGACAATGCCTTTATAGAGAGTACATATAATACAGATGTAATTTGTAGAAACAAAGAATCAATAATCTTTAAATTCAACGTTAATAAGGTTCATTGTCTCCTTTAAAATATGGCACATTATCAAGAAGTGGAATATGGCAGTAATAGTTAAGGTTTTATTTTATACCTCAACCCCTAATTATTCTTTGATAATTATTTGTTTTAAAGGGATTAAAACTGCAGGTTATCAGAACACTTTTACTGTCTGGTTGCTGATCACTAACTCCTTTTGTACAGATAATCAGCTGCCTGGATGTAAAAGTATATGAAAATGTTATTTTTTCTATTATAGATGCATTATATAAGAGCTAATTCAGCCAATTGCAGGTCTTTTTTCTGGCTTATATGAATTATTAATTAGACATTTATTCACAAGACAAGCCCATAATAAACTCCCTAGACCATTGAATGGATTAGAGTAGACCCCCAACCCCCCTTATTACTTAATAATTTAATAATAAAATGGATAATCAAGACATTGTTTATTATTGTAGCTCAGAATAAAGTAATTTGACTGAAATTTTCAATAATTTGCAATTCATTATCTTTTTTTTTTAAACTATTATAGCGAGAACTGTCAGCTCTTTATCTAAATGTTACATAATGCATCTTTAATATGGTGAAATGATGTCAC